TTTTTTTTAAGAAAAGGGAGAGATCTCATAACCAAAATCCTACAAATGGTAGGATTCAAGAAGAAGAAAGTGTCAGGTATTCTGAAAGGGAGAGAAAAGAAAGGAGGAAGAGAATTTAAGTTCCCAAGCTCCCTGTGGAAAATGAAAACCAGTTGTTCTGTACCAGCAATGCCTAGGCTGTCATAATTTAAAATTTGCTATTGGGTCTGAATGTGACTGAAAGGGAAGGTTTTGATATTTGTTGAAATGACAGAACTAGGAAAGGCCTTAAACCTTGACCTTGACGAAAAAAGACAATTTGTGACCTTGACTTGACAGCTCGTGTATTGACCTCCACTGGATTAGTAGATCAAGGGCGCCACCTTGTGTTGACAAGCCTCCTTGTAATGCTTCAGCTTCAAGGGAATTGAGCTCTTACCTCCTTCCTTGACTTGTTTTAGAGATTTTAGTACTCATTCTTTTTTGCTCCAAATGGAGCAAATTTGAATATATGTAATCTATACATATACTTGTATATATGTGAATATATAATATATGTTTATACATGTATACATTTGCATATCAGTGCATGTGTGCTTGTATGTATAATTGTAGAATTTGTACAGATACAGTATTAATTGCTGATGACTGACAACATTGTAATTTAAGGTGATTTCTAGAGTTGAGGTACAGAATGTTGTTCACACAGTGAAGTTTTTCTCCTTTTCTTTAATGGCCAAGTTTGATTTGTCCTCACAGTGGCTCACTCTGCATCATATTTCTTCAGTTTTAAAGCTATACATTTTTGTTACAGTGCAAGAGGTATTCTTAAATAACCATTCTTTCCTGGCTTTTACCCTCCAAGGTGGTCTACGACCCTAATTAGAACTATCTGGGAGTCTTTACGCAAATAAAAAGTTTTAGATACCTTCCTAACTCTAGAGTTCTAGAGTTACATTTCAGAAATTCAAAGAATCCACCTCCTGAGAGGCCAGTAGGAGAACTTAAATATCTCATCTACAAAATGGCTGGAATATGGGCACAGAAGGAGGGTAATCTTGGATCTCTCAGAACTGACTACTGGTTCAGAGTGGTGTGCAATCTTATATTGATGCTTGCAAATCTACCATTTGATTTGTGGGAGAAATAAATGTTTAATATTAACAACCACCATCAAAACTGCATTAATAATCAATATTATATCTACTGTTTATTGACCCCTAACAACATATCAGGTGCTATGTTCAGAGTCATAAATAATACGTATGTGTGTTTATGTATTTAATATACACATAGGGTAATGTGTTTTTTGTCAAATCCATGCTGTATGCACATGTATTAAAACATTGGTGGAATTACTAGCTTTGAGATGCAGAATTTCCAGATGCAGTTTAATTCTATCTATGTTAAAGGAAACTAAGTGAATGGGAGAACTGGGTTATCATTTGATGGAAAATAATATTGGCCAGTTACAAGCCCAGCTGATGGCAATGTCTGCAACCACGCCTGAAGACTAAGAACTTCTTTATATCTTTATAGATGAAGAATTATGGATAGAATATAAAGCTGTTTCAACAAAGGATGGTCCAGAAACATACATGTCAGATGGTCTTGTGAAGGGCAATCATATTTTGCTGCCTTCAGAATTTTCACTGTATTTGTGGAAACAAATGAAAATACTGCTTCAGATTCACCTCCCTACATCTTGTTCCACAACTCCATTTCTAAATGAACTGCCATCAAGCAAAGTAACGACTGTCTCCAAAATGTTTAAAGTATTGGAAATTCCCCTCCAAGTTGGATCACATACTGTGTTTATGAACAGCTCCAAAGGGGACTCTTCTGTTGAAGGGAGATATTTTTCTTTAGATATAAGAAGTGTTCTGAGCCCCAGGCCTAGGAAGGAGGCCAACAGCAGCTCTGCAGATGGACTACTGCTCCTTTCCAAAGCCACCAACCACTACAGCAGGAGTCCTGGGTAAAGTAGCAGTGTTCTTGTTCTCTCTCTCTCTCTCTCTCTCTCTCTCTCTCTCTCTCTCTCTCTTGATATGTCAGCCCCCCCCCCCAGTAGTTCTAAACTGGTTGCTGATAGTGTCAAGCTCACCTAACTCCCTTATTTAAAATATCCATGGATTTACTAGATTAACTGCAGTGGGCATGGATTAGGATGACTGAATACTGCCTAAACAGCAACCAACCTAAAATCTTTAAAACAAAGACAGCCAGGAGGATACCAGCCTCCTCCTCCTGAAAAATAGACATAATAATGGCAGACGCTATCCATGCATTAAAAACCTTATTCAACTATTTTTTTTCTAAAAAAAGAAACTTCCGGAATAAAAAAATTATAAATATAGGACTTTTAAAAATGACCTTTTCCATCTGCTCTTAATACTGTCAAATTTATTGTTACTTTAAGTGGATGATTGTAAAATGTCACTGCATTTCACTACTATATGCCTGATGGCGAACTGAACCCTTCCATTTAAATTTTTGTAAGGTAAGAAGGAAAAAAATCCTAAGACAAAAGAAAGAAAAAAAAAACATTCATTTAAAAATATTCAACCTAATTGAAATGTTTTGTTAGGGATTCACCGCGAGGCAGTGAAATTCAGCCGAGGATGATATATATTTGTGTGCGAGTAATGGACAGTTACTGTCTCACTCGATAAGGGCGGATTACTCGCTGCTGTGAGTGTTTGGAAGGCTGGGTGAAGGTGAGGCATCCTGCTTCCTCTCTGTGAATTCCCGGGTTTAGAACTGTGAGGAAGGTTGCCTGGAACTACTAATCCCCAGACTGGGGTTCAGAGGCGCCCTTCTGGATTTGCGGACCTCTACCGAGGGGACGCTAGGGAATTGCTGATTTATGCGCGTTCCTTTAAACTTGATCGAATGCGTGTCAGCAGCCCAAGGCCTGGAGAACCAGAGAAATGTGCAGCGAGTTTTTCGCATCCCATTTTTCATAAGCAAAGATGCCTCCTTATCCAAAAGGCCTGGCGAGATTTATGTCTGCCTAGGTTTTAGATAGGAATGCTAATTAAGTTTTCATCTGCTCGGCCGCCGGGTAAATAAAATCCGGCTACGTTCTTTTGGAAAATAATCATTCAATCCTCGCGCGTCTATCTAGAGCCTACGAATGCCTGAGAGGTGCCTACTATTTAAAATATTATTTTTAAAGTAAAAAAGGATGCTTGCGCAGAAAAAAATGTCTCCGTGAAAGCAGCCGAGGCCTTGCCACTGTTGATTTCATTTCTGTACGGATGAAGAGCTGGAGCCACCCGCAGGAAAGAATGACACCGGGTGTCTGAGATGTTCAAATTTATGTGAGGAGTCGTGAGGCTGCGCGGGGATCCCAGGTGCGAGGGTGCAAAGCACTTCTGTGGACCGGAGGCCGCCCCAGGCTCGCCCCTGGGAAAAGAGACGCCGCCCCAAGGGCTCTGGCTTTTCACGTGAACCCCTTGCTCAAAATGGAGGCCCGGACCTTCCGAGCCCGCCTTGCCAACTGCTTCGGGGCGGGTCCCAGACATGCGGCAGGACGAGGCGGTGGGACTCTGCGGTGGGTACAGGAAGGTTGCGGGCCGGGGTGATAGGCCCAAAGCTGCGCGCTGCCCTCGCCCGCTCCGGTGTGACAGGACAAGCCGAGTGACTCGAAGGTTTTGTGAGGTTACCCCCTTCTCCGCCCCGCCCCTCCCTCCCGGAGAGAATAATCGGGTATTTAATCTCTCCTGGTCTTAATTCTTGGCAGCGTGGAAGGTGGTTTGCAACGGGAAATAAAACTTGACAGGAGCATTTTCTCTAAAAGGGGTTTTGAGATGAGCTGAAAAGAAACCACGTTTTTCTCTACCCAACACTTCCGCTTTCTAAGCCCGGAGCTGAGCGGTAGATGAATCCATGGGAGCGGCGCGGGACTGAGCACGGATGCGGGTGCCCCAGGCACGCGCTCTCCACCCGGGCAGGGAAGCAGCTTCGGGCCTCGCTGACCTCTACCATCTGCGACTCTAGGCTCGGAGCCGCCTGAAGCCGTACCATAGGACCCCGTGCACAGAGCCGGTCTAACAACAGAGGGGCCGGGTTGGTACTGAGTCGTACTCAGACCCTGGCTGAGGACGGCTGGGATGAGATGGGAGAAGAGGGACCTGGGGAGAATCTTGGATGGCCTGGCTTTAGCTCTGAGCCTTCTGACCTGGGGTTAGGATAGGTGGTGAGCCGCGCTTGGGGCTTTGTTTCCCGGCGGCCCGCTTGCACAAAATGCAAGGGGGAATTGTGGGGTGAGCGGCATAGCTTGTGTGTCTGGGCTACTATTGGGTGGAAGAGGCTGGAGACTTTCACGACCCCCTCCAGGCCCTCTCTTGGTGTTTAAAGGTCAAGTCCTCAGCGCCACTGCCTTCATGGCCAGGGCTGCCTGGCAGAAGAAGCCACCGAGGACATTACTGAGCAGGACAGGGCATATAATTGGTCAGGCCATCACTCTTGCAGTGAAGGTCCTGGTCCTGGTCGCCTGGCTTGAGCACCCAAGGCAGAAGGATTCTTTCTTGATTTTTCAATTACCTTAACCCCAGCCTGTTTTGAAAGGATTCTCTGAGGTCGGGTTAGCCTAAGCTATGTCTTCACCCTGGAAATGCAGATTTCAGAACCCTGACGAGGTCTAGACAGGGTAAGAGGGAGCTTGTACAAGCCCAGGAGGACTGATGGAACTGAATCCGAGTTCTGGTCCAGGTAGGAACAAGTGACTCAGCAGTCCCAGCGCTGGGAATCCACTATAGAAATAAAGAGCCCGCTGGGGTCTCTGAGTCCAGACCTTGCTCGGGATTTCACCATTCTTTGGTGAGCTCCTCAATGCTCTTCTGCCTAAATTTACTCTAGGTGAGGTGGACTGTGCCAGTGTAAAGCCCCTTGACTTCCTGGCCCCAAGAACCTCACACTGTGCTCTGTAAGAGAGAACCCCTTACCAACCCCTTACCAGAGAGAGCTTTGTTCTTAACGTGCCTGCCTGAGCAGGTCAGAGCATCAGGCCCAGCTTAAGACAGTCTGCTGTTGACTCTGTCATCCCAAGTGAACCAATAGAGACCTGCAAATTATCTTTTCTTATTTCAAAAAACAAGGACGCTATCCCTAGAGCTGCCATAGGTAGGAGATATGGCCAAAGTATTGACCATGAATAGGTATCATGGTAGAATTGCCTGGCAAGGTGAATGGAGGAGGCGCCTAGTGCAGGGCTGGGTGGAGACACAGGCTCTTCCCAAACCTGGAATATAAGCTGCTACCAGCACTGCCTAGAGATAGAGCTATCCTAGGAGGCATTTGTAGTTGGAACCTGAGGGTGTCCTCTGAGCCTCCGCCTAGGCACTGAGAGCAAGGAGCAGAGCCAACCTTCTGACAGTGCTGTGCTCTTTTGTCCTCTTTATTACAGGCGCACTCAGCCAGGCAAACCCCGTTTGTGACGAAGCTGCAGGGAAAATAGAAGGCAGATATTGAGACCCAGAGTTCACCCTTCTAAGTTTCCCTCACTCCACTTGCTCCCACACTGTGGGAAAAATAAAATCTTCTCTAATGAGTCAGCAACCATAAAAATAAAAATGGTTCTCCAGCCCTCCCTTCTTCCATCAGTTTGAGAACCACTAAACTAAATGATAACCAGATTGTTTAAGTGATTGAGACCCTAAACTGAGCTCTGTACTCCACCCTCCAGTGGCCAGAAAAAGAATATGAACTTATTCAGATGTTTAGAGGCATTGGATGATAATTGAACCTGCTAGTCAGGACTCAGCCATAAGGTCAAGTTCAAGGTATTACCTGTTCTCTTCTTTTAGAGAAGAGTAGGCCAGCTTGGAGGAGGGTGAGTGCCTTGACAAAGGTACAAATTAATCCATCTCTACCTACTAGTGATGGAGGCAATCCCTTGATAATTTCCTTAAGTACAGTGTAATGGATTGGCCATGATCTGCCAATAAACCATTTTCTGGGCCATTCCATACAATCCATCTCCCTAGCTCACCATGGAGGAAGACAGATGTACCCCCAAAAATCCTTTGAAGGAGAGAGTCCCTAAATGGAGAGACTTTAGTCCTGCAAAGAGTTCTGTGACTATTTCCACCAATTCCCCTCCCCAGCCAACTCTTGCACCTGTGCACAATATAACCACTGGGGTAGCAATAGTTTTTTTATTTACCTTTATAGAACAGTTTAATATTTTGAGACAGATGAAAGTTAAGACTCATGCCAGCAAGAAGAGGCAAAAAATATTTATGGTGCTCTAAGCAATCCACTGAGAAACAGCTGTAGACTGTTGAGAGCAATATCTGGTCTGTCCAGTGGGTCCAACCCATCCCAGACCAGCTGCCTCTGGAGACTACCCAGGCTAGAAAAGCAAGAGCTTTTCCCCAGAAAAGGGGCAAGTGTTGGTGAGGGAAGAAAGGAAAGTAGATGCACATTGTGTTGATTTGGGATGGAATATTCCAATGATGGATGGAGGTGAGAAACCCAGTTCAGATCCCTGATTGAGTCCCAATTTGGGAGACAAACCGAAAAGATCCCCTTCCCTATACCTGAGTGGTAGGTGCCCTCCGGAGGCACTTTAGCACCTGAGCTCTAGTTCAGCTGAGAACAACACCAGAAGACTAGAAAGCCTTGGAAGGGGAGGCTGGCTGGAAAGAGGAAAGGTGTGACCTGGGCCAGCAGGAACCACCTGGGGACAGGATTAGCTTGAGAAGGAACTGGGGAGTGGGGGCAGCTTGGTTTAGCATTCATACTATGGGCCACATGCTGAGCCTTCAAAGTCCTCTAAGTGCAGACCCTGGGGAATTCAGATTCCCAGAGTTTAGGGATAGGAGATGGCTGCTACCTACCAAACCAACCCTAAAGACAAAGAGGGCAGCAGCTCTGCAGCCTCCGGAGTTGGGTAGGAAGCCTGGAATCAAGAGGTGTTCTCAGACATGCCTAGTTCTATTTTTCTTTGAAGTGGCTATCAAGTGACTATGCTTGCAGCTTAAGTCTCATGAATGACTGTGTTGGAAACACCCCTGGCACAACCACCCAGGAGACAAGGCCTTTCCTTCTATGAAATGATCCCTCTGAGGACACAGATACTCTGAGATACTTCACTGGTGCCCTCCTGCTACTGCCTAAACATCTCCAAGGGCCAGAAGTGAATTCAGCAGAGGCACCTGGACACACTTTATTCTGATGGTCTACCTGGGAAGGAGGGTGGAGCACATGGTGCACAGATCTCTGTCTCGGCCAGGGCGCTTTTAGCCAGGGAGAGGAGAAACAGCAGGCACTATGGGTACACACACATACGCTCCCCTCTTCAGGACCAAATCAGCAGAAGCCTCGAAAAGGGTGGATCTATTTTGCAGATCAAATCTTGTCAGCCATTTCTGCCTGACAAGGCAGACGCTGATGGCCACCTCCAAACGCTGTGCAGGGTGCCACCGCCTGACCCTAAGAGGTCTGCCTGGACCTTGAAGTTCGGAAAAACAGAAGATTGAACCGACTCCCTCCCTTTACAGACACACACGCACCGTCAGGCCGCCGCCACTTCCTGCCTTTGTTTTTCTTCCTCCAAACATTTTTGGCCTCTTGCTTTAGCTGCTGTAGGGCTCCGGGTTGAGGATTAAAGGAAATAAACGCTGAAGAGTGTTTTCTGGAGATTGCTCCCGCGCTGTGGAGCTCTTGAGAAAGAACAGCTCCTGGGAAACCAATCTCCAGGGCCAATGTCATAGCTTTGCCGGCCGCCGCCTCTTCAGGAATGGAACTCGGACTTGGCCTTCCGGTGCGGCCTTATCCCTAGTCGGGTCTTTCCCAGAGCCTGGTGGGCCGAGATTGTCTTTGGGTCTCCTGCAAAGCCGAAGAGTCAATTAGGCTCAGAGCAAAGTCAAAACCAAGAACTCGCAGAATCACCTTCCCTTCTTCCCCCAGATTTGGTCCCAATCTCAGAGCGGCGCCCGCCGGGTACCCTGATGCCTGTCTGAAGAACCTTCACACCACCGATACATTCAGGCCAGGACAGACAGGACCAGGCAAAGGCTAGAGTGGCGCAGCTTTGGGGATCTGAGCACCCCGCCTCTTGTCTCTGTTGGGGAGCTAAAAGCAACCGGCAGCTCCAGGCCATTTCCCTCCTGGGGCATCAAAAGCTTTTTCTTCATTTATCTTCACCGCAGCGCCCCCGCACGCTCCCTTCGAAGCTGCAAGTCTCCCTGGGCACCCCACTTCTGTAGATCTTGTCTAATTGCCCTGCCATCCGCTCCAGGAGCACCTTCTTCTTCATCCGCCTTTCCTCAGGGATTTGCCCTGTCTCCTGCTGACACCCATGGGATACAGACCTGCCGGCTTCCATTCAATTAGCCCTCGAAGAGAAGCTAGGACGCACTAGTTCTGCAGAGCACGCTCAACCCATACCTTTCTGCGGGTACTCCTTCTCCCTGGCACCAGGGGAAGTCGATCTAATTAAGAGAGAAGCTGCCTCGCCGCCAGGGGAGGCGGTCTGGCGTCCCCCGCCGGCAGGCCACAGCGGCCCCACGGCTCAGGCACAAGCTGAAGTTGACTGCCAAAACTGCTATAAAACCGCAGGTCTGTCTAGAACTGTTTTCGGTTCCCCTAGACGCCCCCGGGTTCAATTATGGTCTTAAAAGCCCTAATACAAGTGCAAGAATTTGTTTGCCTTCACCCAGGGGCGGGGCGAGCCCTGCAATGGTGGCGCCTTTGTTATGGCAAAGTCACTGAAACCCTTCATGCATTCCTTTTGTTCGAGGGTTGGGGTGGTGACGACTGGGTGGGCTGCTGAGAGAGTTTGAGATAGCAAAAATCAAACCAGGGAACTGCTCAGATACTGCTGCATGAAATCTCTTCTCCCTTTTAAATTCGGTCTCCAAGAAAGATACTTGTGGAGAAACAAATATTTTGCCTGGTTGGTCTCCGCTGGAAATAGTTTTTCGCTGCAGGACCATCCTGTAATTGTGATGGGTAACTTCAGGAGGTCTGAAGCCACCCTTCCCCAACAGCCTTTCCTTCGGCTGGACCTTCCCACTCACAGGGCTGCAGTCATCTATGAAAGCTGCAGTGGACAAGTATGTCAAGCTAAAGATGCACAAATAATATCAAACTCAGCTCTCAGGGATTCAAGGGGCATGAAAGTTCTTGCAGCAAATCCTGAATAAAGAGTTCATTAAACCAATGTGTCTGAGTAGCTTGATTTGTGATAAACAACCCTTGTAAAGGGGGAGGGGACACAGAAACACTAATGCTAATATATTAGTCTACTCCATAACACAGTAATTACTCTATATTATTGATATTTACAGTGTGCATTCAAATGCAATGGTGGGTCATTATTTAGAGAAAATACATAATGAGAATATTTCTTTTCCAGTGCAATACATGATTAAATTTGTTATTGAGTCAGTTACAGTCAGCTCAGCAATAAATAAATAAATCGATGTTGACACTTAAATACCAAAGATCCTAGAGTTTATACTCTAAATCTCCCCAAGATATGTAAATACCTTTGACTATTTCCTGGATGAGGAAAGGGGAAAGGTTTTCATTTTTCACTTTTGACTTTTGTGACACCCTAGCTCTTTCTAAGCAGGGACTTAGCTGGAGCTCCAGGTCTTGGTCCCCTCCCTGCTCCTGGCTATCCTTCACTACTTGGTGCCCTCTTTCTTCTTGCATTTTCTCCAAGCACTTCTTCAATCCTGCACCACGACAAGCATCATTTTTGCCTTCTTAATCTCCTTCTTTCCTCCTTTGGAGAAAGCCTGGTTTATCCTAGCAGTTATGGCCTCTTCAGCATTATCTGTAGAGCAAACACAGCCTTTTCAAGACATCCCAGTGGCCCAAGGTGCAGGGAGTTGGGGGAGAACCTCTCTTTTCTTTGGCACTGCTTCTCTGGTGGAATAAATAGCAGGGATGAAGGGACCTGTCTGAATTTCTATCTTGAATATCCTTGCTTTCACTCTCAGATTTTGCAAGGAAGAAGAGATGGGTTATCTTTTCTTATCCAGGATTCCTGGGCCAGTACTCCCTCTTTGCCACCACCACCCCTGTTTTCCTCGCAGCTTTGAAACACGGCAAGAAGCCTGGTGGGGGCCCCCAAAGGTGCAGCATACCCAGGAGAAGGCTCCTCGGATGTCAGCGCCTCTGAAACAGCCCAAAGACTCGCTTCAATTGCATGGTTTCCCGATTCCTCGGCTTCACAGGCCAGGCAGCTTGTGGACCAGTGAGCAGAAGCGCAGCCCCAGAGCCTCTGGCTCTGCGGAGTCACTCTGAACTCCCTAGGGCAACAAGGAGAAGGTTTTTTTTTTTCCCCCAAGGGCAGGGTGTGGAGTGAAGAGGCAAGCAAAAAAGATTCAAGGAAGGTAGAACCCGGGTAAGGCGAAGGCTCTTCCGGACCGCGGGGATTATCGACTAACCGCGGAGGGAAGCAGCTTTGACTGTAGGCGGTTTGGGGACGGAAGGCACTAAAGCGCTTCGGAAGTGACCATGAATGAGAGCATGTAATCAAGTCACCGTGCAAATCGGACAAGCCACGAGGCCGGCACATCCACAGCCGCGAACCCTGGCCCCAAATGGGGTCTATTCAGGGTCTGAGGCGGAGGTGCTCCCGGAGCAAGCCTGAGGGAGGGGGACTGCGAAGGAGGCTGCGAACATAAACCTTCAGAGAACAGACTCCAGACCTCGGCCACACAATTCCGGGCTTCCACCTGGCCACCCCCAGCCCAGAGCATCCCTCACCCACCAGGGCGTGGGGGGAGGCGTCGGAAGGTGAGCTCTCTCGCCGCCCTCAGCGCAGTCGAGGGCCAGGATCGTGTAGCTGCATGGGGGCGCACCCCAACCTCTCTGCGCGCCGGGAGGCCCCCCAGCCAACATGAGTTACACCGGCGATTACGTGCTTTCGGTGAGAACACCGAGTGACGATCTGTTGCTTCCCCTGGGGTGGCTACAAAGAAAGAAAGCCGAGGAGGGAGGGGAGGGGGAGAAAAAAGGAAGGGGGGAGTGAAAAAAAAAAAGCCGGGACTAGCTCGCAGCTTGTCAATTTCAACATCGGGTCACATGACCAGCACCTCCCTGCTAAGGATGGGGATAGATTTCCACGTCAGCTTACGTCTCCAAATTTCTACTTCACGGATCCGCTTCAAAGAGGCAGCTGCAGTGAAGAATCATGTTAAGCTCGGCTACTGCGGAGAGCCCAAGGTAGCCCAATGATGGATTTTGATGAGCGTGGTCCCTGCTCCTCTAACATGTATTTGCCAAGTTGTACTTACTACGTCTCGGGTCCAGATTTCTCCAGCCTCCCTTCTTTTCTACCCCAGACCCCGTCTTCGCGCCCCATGACATACTCCTACTCCTCCAACCTGCCCCAGGTCCAACCCGTGCGCGAAGTGACCTTCAGAGAATACGCCATTGAGCCCGCCACTAAATGGCACCCCCGCGGCAATCTGGCCCACTGCTACTCCGCGGAGGAGCTCGTGCACAGAGACTGTCTGCAGGCGCCCAGCGCGGCCGGCGTGCCTGGCGACGTGCTGGCCAAGAGCTCGGCCAACGTCTACCACCACCCCACCCCCGCCGTCTCGTCCAATTTCTATAGCACCGTGGGCAGGAACGGCGTTCTGCCGCAGGCTTTCGACCAGTTTTTCGAGACCGCCTACGGCACCCCGGAAAACCTCGCCTCCTCCGACTACCCCGGGGAGAAGAACGCCGAGAAAGGGCCCCCCACGGCCGCCGCGACCTCCGCGGCTGCCGCGGCTGCTGCCCCCGGCGCGACCGCAACTTCAAGTTCGGACAGCGGCGGCGGCGGCTGTCGGGAGGCGGCGGCGGAGGAGAAGGAACGACGGCGGCGCCCCGAGAGCAGCAGCAGTCCCGAGTCCTCTTCCGGCCACACTGAGGACAAGACCGGCGGCTCCAGTACGTATAAAGGCAGCGCCCTGCGCTTTATGAAAGGGGAGTTTGGAAATCTAGCGCAGCACCGCTGTTAAATTTTTATATGCTGTTTTATAAGCATATAAGGTTTATGAAGGGCCTTTAGGTTTCCCCCAACAAAACTTTGTTATACAAGGAGAGATCACGTGGCGAGTGCTGAAATTGGCCGTGAAATACCCATCGGCCAAGGCATGCCTAGGAAAAAAAAACAAAAACCAAAAACACAACTCCCCTTTTTTCCTTTTTTCCCTTCTCAGCTCCCAAACTCAGCAGATCGGTACGCTGGAGGCCAGCTCCGGGCTGGGGAGCCGGAGGTGGGCGCCTGTAAATTCCCCCTACAAGGGTTTCAGGAGCCTTTGATAGCGAGGTAATCCGGAGATTTTTATAAAAGCCATGTGTTGCGGCGGGACTCCAGTCCCGGCTGGGATTCAAAGGCATCGCTGTTTAACGATGGCGCTAGGAGCGCATTTAACAGATAAAGTAGCCCGCTTAGCTCGAGCAATATATTAAAAGAAACAAATTAACCCAAAGTTGGCCTTTTTGTCCAAAGGAAGCCATTTTCCTCTGGCACGGTGGCAATTACGTGCCGCCTTCTGTCCAACTGCATGTTATTCACAATTGTTATTAAATCTGTCAAAGCAATTTTTTCTTTTTTGGTCTTGTGGGCTTTTTTAAAGGGGGGGGGAGCAAGTAGATCCTGCCTGAAGCTTAGGGAAACCTCTCTTCCCTCCATCCTCTCTCAAATAGCATCCCTGCCCTGCCTAGGGCGCTCTGGCTGTGTAGTGGCAATGCTCAGTGAAGGCCCGGGGTTGAGGGCTTTCTCTGCCACCTCCCACCTCTGGAGAGTTGGGAGGCGGTGAAGAGACAGGAGCCGGTGATCACCGGCTGACAAAGACGGGCAGCGGCCCCAGATGTTAAGGGGGGGGGGGTCGACGGCGGCAACCGGGAAAGTTTGAGGCCAGGATAACTTTACTGCCTCGGGAACTGGCGGCCCAGGTGCTGAAGGTGAAATGCCTTCAGGCGGCTGTTTGTTTAGTCTGGCAGGGCTAGGCTCAGCCAGCAAACCCCCACTCCACTGTTTTTAAAGGAGTTTAGGCAGCGCGTATTTGCCTGTTACTGTGGGGAGCCCTCCTTTCTGCTCTAGGGGCAGCCTGAGACCTTTCCCTGGGGGCCTATCTAGGGAGCTGGCTTTTATCTGAGGCTGAACTCCCTCCTACTGCAGCTTGTCCCTGGCCGGCAATAGGAATCTGGGGAAACCTGGAGGGGGCTTGAACTGGGCCTCCAATCCCCATGGCCAGACTTTTTCCTCCACTCAGAACTCTGGGGTGGGTTGCAACCTCTATGCCTAGCTGACCCTTTTCTACTTCCTTAGGTGGCCAACGCACCCGCAAAAAGCGCTGCCCCTACACCAAGTACCAGATTCGGGAGCTGGAGCGTGAGTTCTTCTTTAGCGTCTACATCAACAAAGAGAAACGTCTCCAACTGTCCCGCATGCTCAACCTCACCGACCGACAAGTCAAAATCTGGTTTCAAAACAGAAGAATGAAGGAAAAAAAAATTAACAGAGACCGGTTACAGTACTACTCAGCCAATCCACTTCTCTAAGGCTCCAGCCCACTGGAATTGGGAGGGGGGGCTTCATACATGTGAAATAATATGCAGATTTTGCCTTTGACAAGGTCAAGACATACAGTGATTTGAGAAAAAGGAGATGTTGGAGAGAGGGTGGCTACAAGGAGGTAGCCCAACAGAAAGGGGCCTGCCTGGAACTCTCTCAGTTAAGATCTCCATGGTTAAGATTCCTATTAATAATTGGATTCTGAGAGTTCTGAATCAACTAGAATGAATGGTTTGGGACCCCTGGTGGTTTACTCTTAGAGCCTGCAAGAGCTCTGGACTGGGTGTGGCCTCCACTGGGGACTGGGCCCCCTGCCAGAGCCCCCTAGAGGCCATCTCCCCCCCAGGACCCTCTGCACTTAAGCTGCCCACCCCAGGACTCTTAAGTCAAGAAGTTGTATGCTCTCCAATCCAGTTCAGCTTGGTGACAGGCAGGAGGGAAGGGAAGGATTCCTAGATGCCCACAGTGGGCCTGGTTTCCAAAGGCAAAGTGAAAAGCAGTTGGACTAAGTGATAGTTAACTATGAGATGGGAGAAGGCTAGGGATCCTGGAGGAATGGAGAAATCTATCCAGGTGACATTTGCATCTTTTCTCTCCTCCTAGCTACCCATCTCACTACTCCCAGGCCTGAGTTCCCAGCAGCTAGCCACTTCCTGCAGCCCACCTGGGTTTTCTTTCTCCCAAGGGGCTGGAGTCCTCATTTCAGTCTGACATTCAAGCCCAAAGTTTGGTCACAAAGCTGACTACTCCCAAGGTTGAAGACACCTAAAAATCCAGAGGCAGCACCCAGGCTGCTGGCCCCTCAATCTCTGCAGGAAATGCCTGTGGAGTGCGGTTGTTTGGCAGTCTCCAGCACATTAAGGAAGCTTGAATTCAGCCAGTGTCAAGCAGAACAGCAGGCCTAGGCAGTGGGTCCTCAGCTTTGGCTATGAGTGGCTGGAGCCCCCCCCCCAAGTCCTTGGTAACTAAGCTGAACTCTGCCCTCATTGGCTCAGAACTGAGCCTAGAAGCTTCTGGCAATCAAGAGCTGGAGAGTGATTTGGAATTATTTTAAAAGATAAATACTATATTATATATATATATATATTTCCCTGAAGGAACCAAAGTGAATTTTAAGCTGCAATGTAGGGGGGTGATAATAAAAATATTTAAAGGCTCTGTTTACAGTGTTCCACGGTTAAACTTGCTCACTGCTAAAAATATTTGAATGTATGCTTCATACAGGGATGATGTTCAAAAGACTTGTAAATAAAGGAACCATAACATAATTTGTTTTGATATTCTTTTTTTTTTTGCCATTAGTTGATTTCTTTGGAGGTGCTGGAGAGAGTGACTGGAGGAGTGTTAAGATGGTCTTTCTAGCTTCTTACAACATTACATCATTTGAAAAGTGTTGGGGAAGATGCTTGGAGGAAGCCTACCAAGACCTGGACATTTCATCTGGGGACCCAGGCACCCTCTATTTGAATCTTTTCTGCCTCAACCTGTTGGGAAGTCTCTGGTGGCTCAGTCTGTGATGAGTGTGTTTGCCATTTCTTACTCACCATGTATTTCCCAGCACACAAACAACAGAGCACAAGGAAAATAAAGAGGGTGGAAACTTGAGTTTTGGGTCCTAGTGTGACATTCCTCTCCCTGCTTGTGTTTTAGCCAAATGTCTTCCCTCATCCAATACCCTTTTACCAGTAAAGGGACAAGTTACCAGGTCCCAGGGGAGAAGGGATGAGGAGGTGACAGAATCAGGATTTAGTTACAATAGAAGCCAAGCTTAGGAAGCCAAGGCCATGTCCTTCTGGAAAGTAGCTTCCTAGGGATGCTCTTAGCTCAAGGCCTAGACTAAGAGACTTTACTCCTCCAACTGACTTCAGTCCTCCAGAAGGCCTTGGGGGCCTGCAATGACCAATGCCTGGCCCAGGCTAACCTTGTTCACCTCAGCACTGAATAGAGTCCCCGTGGCTATACCTTGTGGATCTCTTCAGCAAATGGGGCATCAGCCTAGGTACCAAGACAGAGCTGACTCTCAGGAGTCTCTAAATGTGTTTCTTGCCTAGCTCCTGAGGCAGTGGTTTCCCTTGGGGAAAGAAAGATGTCCGCTTTGCTCTTTATTTGCTGCCTTTGAACTTCTCCGTTAAATTTGGACATCACCCATAACCTTGAGGGGCTGGGCCAAAAGGACAGAGCCTTTTGTTAACCACCCCACTCTCTCTCCAGCCACCCAGGCAGGGCCAAAGAATGGAGAAGGTTGCATTTGGAGAGAGGCCTCAGGCTCCAGACCCTGATCTGTTTGTTTGTGTGTTTGTCTAGCGCCACAGGGGAAACGGAGCTGAAAGGGGAGAGAGAGACCCCTAGATGAATGTCTAGGTTGATAGACACACAGAGACGAACAAGGGACCTCCTGAGGGGGGGCTCAAATGGGTGGGCCAGGAAGCCTGGTTTAGGAAAAAACTTCCTTTGGGATGGTTAAAGATTAACCAAAGTCTCTCAAGTTGCTAGAGTCTAGCCAGAAGAACTGCTTTCTGGCGGTCGCTGGTTTGATTTCTGAGCCCTATAAAAGCCCATCCTCCGATGGCTGTGACAATGTGGTCGTAAACCCGTCCTGGGCCGGCCAATTTGCATATTTGGAATGCGCCGCTATAAACCCGGCTGGGGTTTTGCAGCAATTTCTTAGATGTAAAAATGAGATCCCAATAGCAGCGGGCTGGGCACATTCTTTCCCTCTTTCTCTGCCTGGAGCCGGCTTCCCTTGCTGAGAGCTGCAGGCTGGATCTCCAGCCCGGCCTAGGCGTACAGCCACCACGAGATGGCGCACTTCCGATCAATGTCAAAGCCGCCAGGGAGCCGGGAACCCCAGCGTGATTCTTGGCCTTTGTTCGCTTCTGATACTAAGAGCAGCACGGTACGTTATTTCACTGGTCCCTCTCCCTTTAGTATCAAAAAGGGGGGCTCACGCTCAAGAAGTGATTGGGGTTATAATTTAAAGCAACGCACCTTCGCTAGGCCTCTCCGCATGGCGCGACGTGGAGAAGCCAGCTGACCCTTGGTAGTGATTTCAGAAATGTGTCAAGGTAAGAGGCCACCAGTTTACGGATTTCGCTGTCGTGGAGATGGGAGTGGGGAGGTGGCTAAGGTCCGAGCAAAGCTCTGGAGCGCGATTTGGTTTGTGGGGAGGGAGAAGCGCATTCGCCACCCGCCACCCCACCGCTCCCTGCGGTTGGAAAGAAGAGGAAGGCCTAAGTGGAAAAGTCGGTTTTAGCGCCATGTGCCAGTATTCCACCCAAGCTTCTCACTCAAGGTGATCTTTAGATTTCGCTGAAATACTCAGATCTAAATGAGTTGGACATGGTCGACATCGAGCGAAAGGTTCCAGCTGTGTTGGGATTAGAGTTGTTCAGAGAGAGAGAGAGAGTTGGAGAGAGAGAGAGAGAGAGAGAGAGAGAGAGAGAGAGAGAGAGAAATGGCAGGACCGGGAAAACAAAGTTTCTCCCTGGAAACAATGGGGTGGTCAGCATTTGTGGTCCCTTAAAGCAGACTTATTCCCGGGGCAGACGGCCAGCGGTTACTGGTTTCCTTCTAGGTACAGTCTAGAGGTCTGCTGAGGAGGCTGGAGGAGGCTGGAGGAAACCTTTGTTCCCAAAAAAGGTCAATTCTAAGAAGTCGCATTTGCTTTCTTGAGGCTGTGGGAGAAGGCTCCGTATTGCTGTTTGGAACGTACCACCTTAATTCTTGTTGGCATTTTGCATAATTTCCTAGATGTTAAAATGAGGAGGGTTGTTGTATATTTTGCAAATTATGCAAAACTACTTCAGTAAATATCAGATGCATTTTTTAAAATGTCATGGAGGATAAAGTCTGATCCAGCAGTTATTCCTTCAGGACTTACACAAGACAAGTTTTAAAGAATCAAAGTGCTTATATTTTTGGAGGCCAGATTATGATTCCCTGTTTCTCCCATATTTAAATTCTTATTTCAGTAGTTTTTCATTTGTTTCTTGGAATAGTTGTTTACTTTCCCCCAAATATACAGACATGAATGAGTCAAAGGAATTCCAGAAAAAGTAGGTGCTGCCTCTGTTCACATGTGTGTTAGTGTAAATTGTACTTATGAGTTACTACTCTTTGGTAGTGCATGGGCTACCAAAAAAGCATGGGCTTTAAGTGATGCCAGAAAAAAAGCAGCCCTGAGAAGGAATGAGCTGAGCGCCCACTCCCAGAGCTAAGAGCCTGCAGTGGGAGCTCTTCCTACAGTCAGGGAGCTGCCTCCAGTTTCCAGGCCAAAGGCAGTTCCTTACTAACAAAACTAAGAATACTTTACTCAAAGTGTAGCATGAAAAAAAAACCTCAGCACTTCCCCCACTAACGGGTAAGGACCAGCTCCATCCTTAGACTTAGAAAAAAAAAAAGGAAAATATTTAAAGTTGAGACTAGGTTGCACCTGATAGAGTCAAAAGAAACATATCAAATATCCCTGGAAATGCTGACATTCTTAAAGAGTAACAGGAAAGGAATGTTATTGCATATGGAAAATTTTTAGTTATTAATAAATTCATGAATGGGAGTTCAGAATTTTTGTTAATGCCTGGATATGTGGAAGCTATAATAATTTTCCTCCATGTGGCTGCAACTCAGTCCTACGGCCCTCTGGATAACTTGGAGGACAAAAAACATTGAGAATGGCCTCCATGTACCTCAATCTCACAACCTAAATTTTCTTTTAGTCCTAAGGAAAAAAAATGCAACTTCTTTTTGTAATAAGAATTTATTTCTTGGGCTTGCAAGGGCCTACTCAGGAAGAGGAATCTGCAATCAAAAAAATGCAGAGTAATCCTCAGCTCACTTGTTCTGTGTGCCTGGCATTTACTGTGGCTCCAGGGAGGGAGTGGGCTTTATCACCAGGTAGAAACCGGCAATATTTATTTCCGAAGAAAACACAGACTCTGGCAGTGGCGGCGATGTAACAGCAGCACAAGCCGAGTTAAGACAAGCAGGCACCAAGGATTTTAGGTCAAAGGCATTTTGAGGAAGAGAAAGGAATTCAACAACTGGAAGGAAGGGCAAAAGGGAAAGAAAGCAAACCAAAGGCAATCACTATACTTAATCCCTTGGGGACAGCGAATCTCAGGAAAGCCAAGGAGATGGATAAACAGAATATTTTATTGAGGAGGCTAACACCTCACTGTGTAGTCTAGAGAGGCACAGGAGCCTTAGGGGTGGCTAGGGGATGACTTGGGCTCCAGACAAAAGGGCCAGGATGCACTAGATGGTTTTTAACTTGAGTTTCTGAGTTTGAGCCACATTATGCTCCTCTGCCCTGGGTTACATTGTTGTCTCTCTTTTTGTTTACTGCTCAGCAAGTTCTAGTGGGGGTTGGATAGAGAGCATAGGGGAGAAAGAGAGAGAGAGAGAGAGAGAGAGAGAGAGAGAGAGAGAGACTTCCATCAAGGCTTACACACACAGGCACACACACACAACCATGAAAGAGAAAGAAAGAAAGAAAGAAAGAAAGAAAGAAAGAAAGAAAGAAAGAAAGAAAGAAAGAAAAAGAAACTCAAATTAGATTTGGTTTATCGAAAGGGGAAGAAAAGTCATAATTGAGGACACATCCAGCTCCCTACAAAGCTGGATCAAGATCCAAGTGCCAATGCCACAGTCTGTGAGGCTGGAGTAGGCCATTTAATTCCTCCACTCTTTTTAGCAGAGGTAGTTTTTATCGTGGATGCAGTACTGAGCTGAGTATTTAACCTTGGTTGGCAAGTGCAGGTTTCTGGATTCCACCTAGCCTACAAGTCCGTTTGGCTGTCCGGCAGGACCTTGGCTAGGACTGGCCTGAGCTGTCTACAGCCTAGCACCTGGCTTATTTTACCAGTCAAATTGGGGAGTCTCAGGAGAATCCCGGATGCTCTAGAGTGCTTAAGAAGGCTTTGGAGGGTAGTCTATGAACTTGAAAGTTGTGCATCAAATCATGGGACTGCACAGACTTGGAATTTTCACAACATAATTCAGCACTAGTCTTAGATTTTCCAGAGGGGTCCCTGATATCCTAGAAGGTTAGGAAAGGGGTTTATAGCCTTGCCTTTTACTTTATTCTTGTAGTGTCTCCCATCTCAAACATATTCTCCAATGGTCACTAGCCCTTTGAAACATCCAGCAGGGAAGCTCTTTTCTGCATGGGATGCAGATAAGGACAATGCTAGGCTCTAACCCATTGACCTGCAGGGGCTCCTTCTTAAAAACTCACTCTTGGGACCTATTTTTATTTCCACATATAACAGCTTTCCAGAGAGGTTCCAGAAGTGCTGAAGAGCCAAGTGTCTTTTTCAGGCAGCCCCATCTTCTGGGCATTTCTAGGTGGCACTGCTGAATACAGCATTTCCACCCATCTGGTAAGCAGAGTAGGGAGGGACCATGCAGATCCTGGAAGCTTAAAGTAGGGCCATAGGCTATAGTGTTCTGAAGCTTTTCAACACTCTGGTCTACCTAGGTGAAATTTTTCTTGGCTTTGGGTATAGGAGCAAATCAGAGACCTACTGATTTGTATGACACATCTGTATGTGTCATACAGATGTAGCTTTTATTCTCCCAAGCTACTGCTGCAGCTTGAAAATTCCAGCTGGGCTGAGAGCTGGCTTTCATCTGTGCCCCCCTTCTCTCTCATTTCCCTCACCTCCTGTTCTTCTGTTCCATCCTTCTGCCCCTCTTTTTCCTCTCCATCCACTTCTTTTGCATTTAGATGCCTCCTCCTCTAAGCCAGTCCTTGAGGGCCACTGAGGTAGAAGTGGCTAGAGCGCCTTGCTAGCACTAGCAGAGGCATAACCTCTTGGGCACGGCTAGGCAGCCAGCCACAACCAACAGCAGCTGTTTGAGTCTCAGAAGCAAGAGTCTGGCTTCTACCTAACCAGCTTTCCTATGCGATTTTTGCTCTCAGGCTTGTCTTTGTCCTCTGACTGGGTTCATTCTGGTGGGAACCAGAACAAGACCATCCAGATGCTCTAGTCTTTCCCTGCAGTAGACAGAGGCCTGAGCGATGATCTATTTCCTGGGATATGGGCAGTCACCAGGTCCACCTGGAGCTGGCAGGCCTAGTAGGCCTGGAACATCCTGGAGACCTTGTAATCCACAGGTTGAGGGCAAACCATGGACTGCCTGGACTCCACTAGATGTTACCAGAAAAGGGTGCATTTCCTGGAGCCTGGTATGAGGCCCAAAAGTGGGGGCTATCACCCCAGGCTGGCCATCTCCAGTTGCCTAAGAAAGCACCCCTGAGTAAGGCCCAGTATCTGCTAAGCAAAGTGCCTGGCCTCTAGATTCTCTTTAGCAGGGCCACAAACCCAGCTCAGCCTCTAAGGGACCGCAGTTCCTTACCACCGGCTGTGTTAAAATGAACAGTGGCTAAAGTGAACACTGCCTTAACCCTGGGTTTGGAGGGGAAGGAGGAAAAGGGGTGGGTACAGCAAGGCAAGAGTGTATAGATTTTTTTTTTTATCATAACCTTGGGGAGTACAGGAATGCTAAAGCTAAAGGGGGGGGTGGCAGAGATGTGTCCTGGGCACATTCCTCCAGGATTTCCCCTCCAGGTTTCCCAATCTAGAAAGACCAAAGACCCTAGGACCAACATTCCAGTCCCCTACAGGAAGTGAGCTTGGGGGTATCTCCTCAGGATGATGGGGAGTGTGCTGTATTTGGCTCTGCCTTCTGGCCTGGGGGTGGGGAATTCTTTTGCCAACGCTGCCAGTCCATTGATTTTTCACCTCGCGGTGACCAAGTGTGCAAAGGCTGAATGATAGTAGAGAAGGTGAACTCCATGAGCACAACGAAAGAGAAAATCCTGACTGGTCACCCTGCAGAGTAGGAGAGTGGTGGGGACTAGGAGACAGCAAGCAATCCTTGCATTTCAGACTACATTCTGTGCCAGGTGTTGGATATGGTAATAGCCAGTTCCAGTTTAACTATGGTTTCTGGGCACTCTGAGGGTCATGACAGTATTAGTACCAGTCAGCCACTTTGTTAAGTCAAATTTCTGAGATGCCACCAACTCCAGGTCCAGAAATGAACAGAGCAGTAAGACCACAACAGGGCCCGCTTAAGTGATCAAGGAGGGACATGGGCTCTCGTGACCACTCCACAACAGACATGGGAGCTTCTAAGGCAGGCTAGGGTGCGCGCCATAAACACCCCACTTGTTAACTGCGCAAGGCCCAAGGGCGCTTCCAATAGACCCTTGCATGGGGCTCAGGTCTGAGTTGGGGCGGGGCGAGCGCAAGAGTCAGGTCCCTCAGCAGCCTCTTTGAGGTAGCCCCCACAGCTCCCAGCCTTTGGGCCATAGGAGTCAGGAGTGCCCATCAATACAGATTACATATTTCTATCAATCGCGGGCTCAGAGGGCGCCCTCGGAGAGCGGCCCTGCGCCTACGAAACCAAACTGGGAGTGGTCGCACGGAAACTCTGGCTCAGGATTGGCTGTGGGCGCCCGCCGCGGTGCGGGGGGATTGCTAATCGTATTCAGCATGTTTTGCACAAGAAATGTCAGCCAGAAAGGGCTATCTGCTCCCTTCGCCAAATTATCCCACAACAATGTCATGCTCGGAGAGTCCAGCCGCGAACTCTTTTTTGGTCGACTCGCTCATCAGCTCGGGCAGAGGCGAGGCGGGTGGTGGTGGAGGTGGCGCGGGAGGCGGCGGAGGCGGTTACTACGCCCACGGCGGGGTCTACCTGCAGCCCGCCACCGACCTGCCCTACGGGCTGCAAAACTGCGGGCTCTTCCCCTCACTGGGCAGCAAGCGTAATGAGGCGGCGTCACCTGGCGGCGGTGGCGGGAGCGGGGGCCTGGGTCCTGGGACGCACGGTTATGCACCGGCGCCCATAGACCTGTGGCTAGACGCGTCCCGGTCCTGCCGGATGGAAACGCCCGAGGGGCCGCAGCCGCCGCAGCAACAACAGCCCCAGCAGCAGCCGCCACCCCTGCCGCAACCACCCCAGCCCCCGCCACAGGCCACCTCATGTTCTTTTGCGCAGAACATCAAAGAAGAGAGCTCCTACTGCCTCTACGATTCTGCGGACAAATGCCCCAAAGGTTCCTCCGCCGCCGCGGATCTGGCCCCTTTCCCGCGCGGCCCGCCGCCCGACGGCTGCGCCCTGGGCGCCTCCAGCGGAGTGCCAGTGCCCGGCTACTTCCGCCTGTCGCAGGCCTACAGCACGGCCAAGGGCTATAGCAGTGGCGGCGGTGCGCCCCAGCTCGCCGCCAGCCCCTTCCCGGCGCAGCCCCCGGGGCGCGGCTTCGACCCGCCGCCCGCACTAGCCTCCTGTTCGGCTGAGGCGTCTGGGAAGGAGCGAGCCCTAGATTCCTCGCCACAGCCCACGCTGGTTTGCAGCGGGGGCGGCGGGGGCTCGCAGGGCGACGAGGAGGCGCACGCGTCATCCTCGGCGGCTGAGGAGCTGTCCCCTGCCCCTTCCGAGAACAGCAAAGCCTCGCCGGAGAAGGACTCCCTGGGTAAGCAAGGCACCGCAGAGGGATGAAGGCAGGCGGGCAGACTGGATGGAGCAGAGAACCAGGAGCCCTCACAGCAGCCAACAGCCGCCGGCCTTGGCCCAAGCTGTAGGCAGGCTGACCTTGTGAACTTGCGTTTTAATATTTGGACATGGGGACGCAGTAAAAATTCATGTCCGGCTTAGTGCCCCACACGAAGACATCCTTAGCACTGGCCCCAGTTCACCCTGGCTCGGGGCGAGGACACCAGAGAGCAGCCCTCCTCCAGTGCATGCACTTTCTTGTGGCTGGGAGCACCCCAAGCGCTGGTGCCCGGTCCAGCTTGCACGGCGCGGCCCACGCGGGGGGAGGGGGAGGGAGGGAAAGTGCTCGCCCGCAGATAGCAAGGATGTTTGTAAGGCATCCAAAATAAGCAGTCGCCAGTGCCAATAAATAAGCCCATTAACCGGCGAAGTTCGAGTTTACGATCCCCCATGCCTTTTTCAAAGTTGCGGGAGGGGCAGGAATCTTTGTTGCAAGGGGAAGAAAAGGCAGATCCTGCCGGGACGCCTGGGCCCTGTGCTGAAAGCTTGGGAGAGCTTTTGCTTCTCTGGGATTCAGAACCGCCCGGCTGCATACCCCTGATTCTTGGAGAGACACTAGAGGAAGGGCCCTTGACCTCAGAATCGGTTTTGCAGGACTTGCCTATTGGCTCAACTATGCCCTGTTCCTCCGCCTTTGGGCAGTCTAGGGGGCTGAGGTGAGACAGCGGAGCTGCCAGCCCCTTATTCAAGTAAGCACCCCTTACCCCCAGCTTGGGGGCTGCAGGAAATGCTTGCCTGCCACAGGGCGAGATGCAGAGAAAGGCGTTAAGTTCAAGATGTACGGCCTTGCCTGCTCAGGCCTTTCAGTCTACGAGCGCCCCGCAGAGTGGTACTAAAACAGGTGCTTGGAAAAAAAAGTAGAGGCAAATGTAAATTGGGAGAATGAGTGTGGATTTGAGGCCCACTCGATTTTGTCATGCCTTTTGAAGGAATTGCTTATTCTCTGAAAGTCAAAGGAGGGCATAACCCTCTCTCTGTGACATAGGGCATCCCTCTATGGGAAAGACATCCGGAATTTACCCCCTTCATACAGCTACAGTGGCCTCGACTTAACCTTCTCCTCTGTATTCTCTTAAACTCCAGGCAATTCCAAAGGCGAAAACGCAGCCAACTGGCTCACTGCAAAGAGCGGCCGGAAGAAACGCTGCCCCTACACGAAGCACCAGACCCTGGAGCTGGAGAAGGAGTTTCTGTTCAACATGTATCTTACTCGGGAACGGCGCCTAGAGATCAGCCGTAGTGTCCACCTCACTGACCGACAAGTAAAAATCTGGTTTCAGAACCGTAGGATGAAACTGAAGAAAATGAACCGAGAAAACCGAATCCGGGAGCTCACAGCCAATTTTAATTTTTCCTGATGAAGTGAAGCTTCTAGGCGACGCCAACGCCGCGTTTTCGCTTCCAGGCTCCCAGAGCGCCTGTACCCCTCCCTCTGTCTTCAGTCTTTGCCCCAGAACTCGCACCTGTGCCGGAGGCCCATTTCTCCCTCCCACACTCTCCATCTCCAGGGCCGTCACATCCGTGCAGGGCTGGTTTGTTCTGACTTTCTGTTTCTTTGTCTATTTGCTTGTTGTTGGTTTACTTGTTTTCTGGGGGAAAAAGCCATACTGTGCTAAAATTCTACACAGAGATTGTTCTGTCAAGCCCTGACTGGGCTAGGTTTGCTATCTCCAGGTCCCACTGTTTGAAACGGCCCCTGTCCTCCTCCATGGAGTTGGTTTCCTGCCCAGCCCTGGGTAAACCTAGCCGGAAGCCCGAGGTCCCACTGTCCGCGGCGCTGAGGTGTCTGGCCTGAGGTCAATGGTGCTAGGAGCCGCCTCCCCTTACGCCTGCCTAGAGTGCTGGGCTGTGTTTAATCAGGGAGAACAGGCCTGAGTTCTCTTCTTTCTTCTTTTCTTTCTTGGCCAACAGTAGAGTATCCAGTCATGGACATGCAGGTTAGCAAAAGAGCTTGACTGGTTGACTGAAAAAGTGAGAAAGAAAGAATCACAAAGATTAATTTTTCCTTCTTCTGTAAGATATCCCAGCTTTAAAAAAGAAAGAAAGAAAGAAAGAAAGAAAGAAAAAGGCCAATAGAAAGAAGCTTCTCTTCCAGTTTGTCTAAGGCCTTGCATTACCTGACTGAAATGTTTCATTTACCTCTGAATTTCCATATCTTGGCTGTTGATAAATAGTGTAGTTTTGTTTAGACATGTGGACTTAATGGATCTTTTTTGCCATTAAAATTGTTACCAATTGGTAACATTTAAAAAGCACACCACAATTCTCCCTAAATTATAGAGTTGTTTTTTGTTCTAATCCCCCCCCCACCTTTTTTAAAAGGCTTTCTGAAATCATGGGAGCCTAGGAGGGATGGGACAAGTGGAAAAATGAGAGACGGGAGACATTGTTTGGATTTCCTTTATACTGTGAAGTTACATGCATAAAAGGGTCAAACCTGTAGGTGCAGAAAAAGAAAAAAACTATAAATACAAATCTGTATAAATGTCTATTATGAAAATTGCCAATCTTGTTTAAGCAAATGCATTCTATCGTTATTATAAATGTTAGTTCTAGCTTTATTTACTTCTAATCTTAAATCAGAATAAATTAATATTGTATTGCTGCTGTGAGTGGAAAAGAGATGATGTTTATGTTCTTATAGAATAAAAGCTGTGGAATGAAGCTTTTTAATTTTACCTCTTTTTTGACTTCTTATCTTCACCTTCCACTTTATCCCGTCGACCATTTTTACAACAGGAGGACCAGCCTGAGCCCCCTGCAATTACTTTAGGCATCTATTTAAATATTACCTAGACGGTCGTAATTTGTCTGGGCCCTATAGCCCTGGTGCCTTAAGGTTTGTCGGCTTTTGTTCAGTTTTATGACTTGCTAGTATATCTGGATTGTGGCTGTCTTGGACCAGTGGTTTCAGTTGAGAGTCGAGCTCCACAGACCCAGGAGGCTAAACAGGATTTCTTTCGGGAGCCCCAGAGAGGCTCGCAGATGCCAGTTATTTTGCGGGTGCAGGGGATCCCAGGGTGACCCCGAGCCTAAATCCGTGGAGCAGGGCCCACGCATTGAACAGCACTAGCGTCTGCGGCCGCCGTTAGATGGACCCGATCCGGGCTGCCCAGGGTCACCCCCTCCCCCTGCTCGGCCTCCCCCACCTGGTGGCCCTCCGCAGGGCCACGCGTTTCCTGCTTGCCGGAGGTGGGGGGGCGACGCTAGCGGGGGAGGGTCTCGGGAGCGCGCGCCTCCGCGGGAGGGTGGCTAGGAGGGAGAAGAGGGGGAGAGGGAGAGGCTGCGGTGAGCCAGCCGGAGAGGCCGCGGCCAGACACAGGACCCGGCTGTGAGCTGTCCCCGGCGCCTTTCGAGTCGCCCGAGGCTGCCGCCACTCGGCGCTGCTCCGCTAAGCTGCGAGAGAGGGGAAACGCTGCCTTTCTCTCCCCCTTCCCGCTCTCTTCCCCTCCTTTTTCCTCCCCCTTCGCCTTCCCCATCCCTCCCATTCACTCTCCCTCTCTGAGGCTTACCTTACTGAGGACCGGTGGCTTCTTCCTCCACCATGGGTTTGGGGCAGTCAGTGGCGGAGGCTGGTGCAGGTTGCCAAGGGGCTGGGTCAGGCACGATCTCGGGGTTTTCTCCTTGGCGGCAGCGGTGGCGGCAGCAGAGGCGGCGGCGGCGGCGGCGGCGGCGGCGGCGGCGGCGGCGGGCGAGGCAGCCCCAAGCTGGCAACACGAGAACTGGTCGGTGATTTAGGTAGTTTCCTGTTGTTGGGATCCACCTTTCTCTCGACAGCACGACACTGCCTTCATTACTTCAGTTGAAATCGTCTCCAGGTACCTGTACTGCGCGGGGGCTGGCCAGGAGGGGCGTCCAGCCCCCAGTCTTGCCAGGTCTGCGGTGGCAACCTCGGCTTCCCAGTGCAAGAGGAGCCTCCTGCCTTCTTCCGCGCTATGCCAGCCAGCCGGCCTCCTCCTCCCCCTCACCAGGCCCGGAGCAGGTACAGTCAGGTTAGCTGCTGGTTCTCGGACAACGGGGGCGTGGTAAGAATTCTGGGGCCCCAGCCATTCAAGGTCAGGGGCGCTCGCTTGCAGCCTGAGCTTTCTCTACTAGAGGCCTGCGGCTGTCTGGGACCCTGCCATTCTTCCGCAAGGCTGGCCTGGAACACATACACACCACTCTAATCCGGGTATGAGCTGAGGAGACCAGTGGAGACCCAGGCCGAGACAGGAGAGCTAGAACCAACGGTCGGGGCCAGGATCCTGGCCTTGTCACTTGCCTTTCTGCCAGCCAGCCCTCTGCTCCTAGGAGTGGCCGCTGTTTTTTTTTTTTTAACGTATTTTCTGTGTTCTTTCCTTCCTTTTTAAATCCCTTGTTTCTTTTTTCTTTTGCTCTCTTATTTCCTTTTCATTTTCTTCCAGCGTTCATCTTTCTGTCTGATTCTTTTTTCTCTTCCCCTTTCCAAACCATCCTTCGGGAGGGAAATGGGCTGGCTTAGGCAAAGCCTGGAGGTTTTATTTTTCTCTACGGGTATATGTATAGGTCTGAGTGTGCCAAAGAAAGGGTGCATAAGAAAGCTGCCTAGGCCCATGGATTTTGGCCTGGTGGGCCTCTGCGCAGACAAGGCCTCGGTTACGATCACGACCGGATGGCGGCGGCCTTTACTTAGCAACTGCCTGGGAGATCCAATGAAGGGGCACCCGCAGGCAGCATCTTTGTGTGCCCACACCCAGAGCAGGGAAGCCTTTGTCAGATCCATAGGCCCCAAAGTTGGGATCAGGGCTGAACCTGGCTACTGAGTTTCTGCAGGAAGTCCTTGTCAGCTCAGCCAGTCCTGCTAGTCCTAACTTGGGCTTTGACTGTGATGAAGGAGCCTCACTAGGGCAAAGCTTGACTGCTTATTTGCTTGCCAACAGCATCAGATTCACAGTATGTTAGACATGATCCTGAGTGCCTGAGAAAGCGGATCTTCTAGGCCCTAGTATATTTTAAACAAGTGAAAGCAATCCGAAATCTAAGAACCATGGGAACACAAACTTGAATCCTTGTTTTAAGTTGTAGCCTATCTATGAAAGCCAGCCAGAACACTCTCAATACTGAAAGCTGAAAACAAATTATCCTTTCCGCCCTCTGCAATATAGGCACTGTCTTTAGACTCGACCACAGAACTATGCTTCCTTTCCCCTGGCTCAGGCTGCCACTCAGCCAGGGAATTATTTTCGTTTTTCAGCCCAACAACCTGTTATCTGAAAGACCAGTGCACCCAATTCCCTTCTCTTACATTTTCTGGGCCAGGGTGTTGAATTTGAGATCAGGGTTTTAGGAAGACTTCTCAGTTGAGAAGCGTGCTTTGTAATTATATCCACTTATTATTTGTGCATGGGCATGAAACCCCCTTTCACTTTCATAATAAAAGCAGACATAAAAGTCTGAATATTCTTGCCTCAAATCTCTGGGCTCACAGGGACAATATTTGGTTTTGTGAAATTTTCCCCCTTCAGGGTACCAGTAAACAGCTGCTTAAACTCAATGCCTACTAATTATTTAGTAATCCTACTATTTGGAGATTAAGTTTATTTAAAGAGACAGCTTTTTATTTAAAAAGAAAACTCTGTTCTTGATAATAATAATTCTGTCTTCTTTGAGTATAAAAAGTGGAACAGGCAGCCAGGTGTGCACTGCCATGTACAGACAATTGCAATTAAGAGCAAAGTTATCCTCCAGGATTAATTGTTTAAATGAAAGTCTGAGCCTCAGAAGGCTGCTGGATATCTAGAACACCTTTGGGTTGCAGTGTGTGCTGGGGGATGACAAGGAGGAATCTTCAAGGGAAGGAGAATGTTAGGGGGAGGGGGCTGAGGTAGACAGGATGTAGTTGGTCTCAGTTCCTTGTGTTAAGCCACTTTTCTCTCTCTTCCCAGTGGGCAAGCAGAGGGTCAGTATTCTCCCCAGGCTTTCCAGCAGGACTCTGGGATAGAGTCTAGTATTTGGAGGTTCCTGTCTCCTGAGATGTGTCCAGAGTGTTGGGAGGTATTTGCTTGAACTGTTTGTGAGAAAGAAGGCAAAGGAGAGCTGGAACTGCCTGAGGCCCATGGCTTTGCTGGGAGGGAAGTGAACTAATGAGAAACACACTCTTGGAGGCACAGTGTTCACACGTGAATTTAATTACTGTGTTTTTAGTTGCTGTTCCTTTCTGTTCAGAATTGGGATGGGGTTATCCCCCAATTAACAAAAGTGACTGTGGCCTTCTCATTTAGTCTCATCCCAAAGATTCTAAGGGGTGAGAAAAACCTCTCCCATTTGGCCAGAGGATGAGATTAAAGTCAATGTCCCTTGCCCATCCCTGGTTAATTTCTAGCACTGGACTTGAGCTGCACTTTCCTTGTAATCTCTGTTGCTCAGATTCGTGGGTAACCAGGCAGGGCCGGTGGCGATATGAAGGAAGGAAAGGAAAGTCAAAGGAAGGAAGGAAGGAAGAAAGGAAGGAAGGAAGGGAGGGAGGGAACGGAAGAAAGAGAAGGGAAGGGAAAAGAAGGGAAGGCCCCTGGAAGGGCTCACATTGGGTCCAGGACCCGCTACTCCAGCACCCTTCTCCCAGTCACTGGAGCCGTGGAGTCTCCAAGGCAGGGTCGCCCTTTAGCAAGCTCAATGTCTCTAATGCTGCCTGGTGGTTTTTCCCACCAGGGGAAGTGAGACCAGGCTTGCAGAGGATGGAGCTGAGGGCCAGGTTGCTGACTGCCTCCTCCTAGGGATTATGAATCCCAGTGAAAGAAGAGTAGACCCCACCTGTGCTCAGGGTAGGCGGGGCGGGTTGGGGGGACAATCAGGTTCCCAAACCTTTGAGGGCAGCCCGCAGTTCGGTTCTTGCCAGCTGCACCATGGGGCGTTCTTAGAGGGGCAAGGGAAAGTTGGGGACTGTCTGAGAGCCAGGCTTCTCAATCTGGCAGGCTCTGGTGTTCCACTCCAGGTGGCTGGCCCACCGATGGCGTGTCAGGGACGGGCAGTACTGTCAGGTGTGGTGGCCGCTCTATTGGGGTGGATAGGGCATTGCATTTGACTTTTGAGACTGGTAGGGGGGAAACTTGTATCTCCAAGGGCTGCAAAGATTATTTACAGGGAGCTCACCAACCAAACACAACAGTCTAATTTAACCTTTCCAAATCCTCGTAAATTTTTACAGCTGAGAGCCACAGTGAGGCAAACGAATCTGTCGGTCGTTCCTAACTTCCCACCAGCCTGTGTGGCTTCTGGTACAATAACTCCTTATGAAATATCATAAATATAGATTTAAATACAGTAGAGTGAGAATGCGACTTGGCTGCTTTTTTATGGCTTCAATTATTGTCTAATTTTATGTGAGGGGCTCTGCTGGCCGCACTCGCACGCGGGACCCGCGCCTTCCTGATGGCGTGATTAATTGTGATATAAAATAGTCCGCTTAAGAAGTGTGTGCGTCTGGTGGAGCGGGGTGGCAAGAGAGAGTACAGAGGCAAGGCCAGATTTGATCTTTTAATCTTCGTTGGCCACAATTAAACCAAACCCGATCGTGGAGCGGCGCGATCCCTTTGCATAAAAGCATATGGCTTTTGCTATAAAAATTATGACTCCAAAACACCGGGCCATTAATAGCGTGCGGAGTGATTTACGCGTTATTGTTCTGCCGGGCTGACACGTGACGCGCGTGGCCAATGGGGGCGCGGGCGCCGGCAACTTATTAGGTGACTGTACCCCCCCCCCCCCGCCCCGGTGCCACCAAGTTGTTACATGAAATCTGCAGTTTCATAATTTCCGCGGGTCGGGCCGGGCCGGCCAGGCGCGGGGTACAGCAATGGCCACCACCGGGGCCCTGGGCAACTACTATGTGGACTCGTTCCTGCTGGGCGCCGACGCCGCCGAGGAGCTGAGCGCGGGACGCTACGCGCCTGGGGGACTGGGTCAGCCCCCACGGCAGACGGCAGCACTGACTGAGCACCCCGACTTCAGCCCTTGCAGTTTCCAGTCCAAGGCGGCGGTGTTCGGCGCCTCATGGAACCCGGTGCACGCGGCGGGCGCCAATGCTGTGCCCACCGCAGTGTACCACCACCACCACCACCCCTACGTGCACCCCCAGGCGCCCGTGGCCGCGGCGGCGCCAGACGGCAGGTACATGCGCTCCTGGCTGGAGCCCACGCCCGGTGCTCTCTCCTTCGCGGGCTTGCCCTCCAGTCGGCCTTATGGCATTAAACCTGAACCGCTGTCGGCCAGAAGGGGTGACTGTCCCACGCTTGACACTCACACTTTGTCCCTGACTGACTATGCTTGTGGTTCTCCTCCAGTTGATAGAGAAAAACAACCCAGCGAAGGCGCCTTCTCCGAAAACAATGCCGAGAATGAGAGCGGTGGAGACAAGCCCCCCATCGATCCCAGTAAGTGTCTTCTCCCGCCACACCAGCCGCTGCCTCCACGCCGGCCACCAGGATCAGCCGGCGTGCCAGCTTTCTCTCCAGCCTGCCTTCATCCTCGCAGCGAGCCTCTTTGGCTGGGGCCGGGAACCAGAAGTTGGTGTTTGAACACCTCAGATGGGGGCCCCAAGCCCAGAGGACTGTGAAGAGCCCGCCGGGCGGGCTAAGGGGAAGGGGAGGAGGCTGTTGCAGCCAGAGGGGGCGGGGCGGGCTCTGTGATCAGGGCCGAGATCCGCCGCTGGTTTCCTTGGCTGCCCAGGCCCAAAACAGGCTTACTTTGGGCCGTTCTTCTTCGAAAGCAGCACAGTCTTTTATGCGGCTAGATGGTTCGCGAACTGCAGCAGCAATGTCAGGCGGGCAACCTTACCCCGAACGCTGGGGGAGACCTCCGATTCTCTCCACTGTCTTCAGCTGGTGTAAATCCTGCCCAAGATGAGGCCTCGGACAATTGAGCCACGAGGGTCTGGTCCCCTTGCCAGAATATTTAGTAAAGTGGAGACGAGATCAAAGGCCTTGGTGGCACCCAGTCGTTCACCTAACTCCCATGGCCTTCCAGGAAGGTCTAATAAAGATTGAGAGTCTCAGGAAAGCTGGGGAAGGAACAGTGAGAGACAAAAACGCAGTGTTAATCTTGCTACAGGCTCGTAGGGCAGCCTGCGTTTTCTTTTGCTGGCAACAGGAATATGGTTTTCAAATTTTACCCTTTCACATTGTGCAAACAGTGGGAGGATGGAGAACAGGGAAGAGAGGAGGAAAAAGGGGGAGAGGGGAGGGGGAGCCGAGGTGCAATCGTAAGTGACTGCCCTTGCGTCTGTCTGCAAGGGTTCCATTGTGTCGGAGGTTGGGCTCTATTCTGCAGCATCCTGCACTTCGGCCGACCGGAGACCCTAAGAGATCCCCTTGCATCCAGCCAGCGTGCTTCTCCTTCTAAACCCAGTGTCTCTCTCCCGCAGATAACCCGGCTGCCAACTGGCTTCACGCGCGCTCCACGCGGAAGAAGCGCTGTCCCTATACCAAACACCAAACGCTGGAACTGGAGAAAGAATTTCTGTTCAACATGTACCTCACCCGGGACCGCAGGTACGAGGTGGCCCGACTGCTAAACCTCACCGAGAGGCAGGTCAAGATCTGGTTCCAGAACCGCAGGATGAAAATGAAGAAAATCAACAAGGACAGAGCAAAAGATGAGTGATGCCATTTGGCTTCACTTAGAAAAGAGAGCAAGCTAGAAAGAAAAAGGACTGCCTGTCCTCTTCTCCCTTCTCTCCCCCACCCCAGCCTCCACCACCTTCACAAAGCGGCTCTAAGCCCCAGGCCTCATCTCCCCCTGGCAAATCCTGCTTAGGCTGGCTCATAGGCCTGCAGGTTTAATGGAGGTATTGTAAGCTTTCCATTTTCTATCACACACACACACACACACACACACACACAAACACACACCCCAGAGGGCATTTGCGCTGATGGCTGTACTGCTAGCTTGTATATGTATTTTTAAAAATCTACCTGCTTCTGACAAAGCAAAAGAAAAAAACTACCTTTTTATAATGCACAACTGTTGATGGTGGGCTGTATAGTTTTCAGTCTCTGTAGTTAATTTAATTTGCTCTTTGTGTAGCAGATCGCTCTGCCTGAGATACTTGAACACTGTGTTTTATTGTGGTAATTATGTTTTGTGACTCAAACTTCTGTGCTGGGTGACGCACCGTTGTGATTGTGGAAGCTAGAATTCAATTTGAACTCAGGTTGTTTATGAGGGGAAGAAAAAACAATTGCATAGAGTATAGCTCTGTAGTGGAATACGTCTTCTGTATAAACTAGACTGTTAACCTATAAACTATAAACCTATAAACTAGTTAACCTAAACTAGCTGTAAGGAATTCCCAATGAGATAAAATTTAAAAATAAAAGAGGGGTGGTGGTTCTCCAGGATACATAGATTTATTTCTTCACTTTTGAAATACGGGGATCTTAGACTTTACATATTCCATAGTCCTGTCTTGTCCATTGTATATAGAATCTATATATTAAAGAAAAATTCATAATCAGGCAAGCTTGAATATTGTGTTTGCACCAGAGGAACAGTGAGGAAATTCGGAGCTATACATATGTGCAGAAGGTTACTACCTATGTTTTACCCTTAATTTTAATCGGGGGTCGGGGGGGGAATGAATGCTTATTGTAATGGAGTTAATTTTATTGATAATAAATTATACACCATGAAACCGCCATTGGGCTACTGTAGATTTGTATCCTTGATGAATCTGGAGTTTCCATCGTGCTGAACATACACTGTATATTTTGCAATAGTTACCTCAAGGCCTACTGACCAAATTGTTGTGTTGAGATATTTAACTTTTGCCAAATAAAATATATTGATTCTTTTATTTTTTTGCGGATCTGCTCATTGTACCTTCTTCTCTTGGGTAGAGTTTCTGGGTCCGGGCAGGGCCAATGTGATGGGGAAAGAGCTCTAATTTTGCCTCCAGAAAGCTGTTGGAAGCCGGGGATGTGCGGCAGCCAGCCCCACCAGGCCTAGGATCTCCCAACTGGGCCCGTTGCCGATTGGTACAAGCAGGAATGGAAAGCTAACACCGCGGGCAGCATAGCTGGTCACGCTGCCCTGTGTCTGTTTGCCAGACTATGGGAAACCTCTGAGGGCTGGGCTGGAGTGCTGGGCATTGCTGACAGCGGTGGAAAGGCCACTCTTTCATTTCTGTGTCTGGAGAAATTGCCCAAATCTGGGTCCAGAAAGGGGTTGGGGCCTTTCGCAGCTGGGAGTGGAGGACCAGAAGTTGAGCGGCTGTTGCCTGTTGAGGAGGCTCTGAGGAGGAGAACCTAGCAGACCTGAGCAATGAGCGGGCTCCCTCAGACAAGTGAGGCCTTTCAGGGGATGCGAAGCCTGCACCCCATCACCCTCGGAGACCTGGCCCGGGAGATTCTGCAACCTATAAGGCTAAGCCCCCTCCGGAGCACAAGACCCTGCCGAGGCAGGCCTTAGCAACCGACAAGCCCCGAAGCGCCATAAAAGAAAATGAGGGCTGTTACACTTTATGGGGTGTAAAGGGCTGCGGAGAGAATGGCTACAACTTCGGAGGCCAGAGCGCCTTCCAGATGTGTTGGGAGAATTCCGCCTGGCTTCTCCCCCCCATCCCAATCCCTCCCCTGCACAAAGCTGACTGTATTCTAACACGTGAAAGGGGAACCAGGGCGCGGGTGGATGGGGCGTCCCTTAACCTCCACCCCCAACGAGCAGCCAGGTTGGCACGCCCTCTGTTGTTGCAGACAGCAAAAACTTCAAAGCCTGGGCTGTAAGAGTGTGCCATAAAGTCCGGGTCTGCAAACTGTCTGGAATTCGGCCCTCAATGAGTTTACAACTGTCCAGCCCCAATTAGGGTATTCCACCAAAGCCCTTTCATATGTTTGCTCTGTCTGCCGCCGATAAAGCGGCTGCGGAAACAGCCTTCCTTTATAGACATTGTCCCTTCAGCAGCGTAGATTCCGGGCTCCACGAGGACCCCCGGGAACTGGGTCCTCGCCCGGCCCGTGGGAGTGGGACGCTGGTGGGGTCGCCTCGGCTGCCGGCTGCCAAAGTTCACGCCAGCCAGAGCAGCTGGGCTGCAGTGCCAAGAAGAGTCCAGCAGATGGCAGTGTGGCTCCACGCAAGACGCATTCACGCCGCCATCTCCAGCCGCTGAGACCCTAGGAAGCTCTTAAAATGTCGACTTGACGCGAGCCTTTCTGGAATGGGAGCCCCAGATCTGAGCCAACGGCAGTCGTATATTTTCCGTGCTGCTCACGCCTGCCTGAAAGCTTCTCCCGGACTCAAGCATGCGCCGAGAGCTTGCCTGACTCTCACCTCTCGCTCCTCCCAGGCCTAGTCCGAGGTCGCAGCGTTGCGTGGCAGCAGATGTGCGCGTGGCAGCAGATGTGCGAGTGGCGCTGATGCGGGGCTGCAGCTCCCAGCGCCGATTCCACCCCCAGGGTGACATTCCTCAGCCAGCACAGATCCAGGGGCAGCGAGGCGAGCGGGGACCTTCGTTCACCGATTGACGGACAACGGAAGAATTCCTATGACCCACGGAGCTGATCAGACCCAGCAGAGGCCAAGCAGAGGGCGGGCACTGTGGCCAAGGTCCGCCGACGCCGAGGTGCGGAAAACCTGCACCCAGGTTCAGGGCCGGGTACAGGGCCTGTGGAGGCCAGCACCAGAGAGGGAGCCAAGACGTCGGACTCAGCCGATTTGAATACTTGCTAGTAAAATTAGGAGACTGAAAACTGGGTGTAAAACCATCTGGTGTAGATCTGCCTGCCGGGAACTTGGCCGCTCTGGGGAATCTCAGGGGATAGACCAGGAACTGTTTGGTTATTCTAAAATAAATGTATATGTTTAAATAAGTATAATAAACACCCTGGCTCCAGAATTGGCGTTCCGTCGTTGAACGGATTCTTGCTTGCTTGTTTCTCTGGCCATGATGTTTTTTAGACATAGAGACTACTTTGGCATCGCCTTCTAAGGAGGCCAGAGCCCCAGCCCACTCCCAGTCTACTAATGCTAGGTGGGGGACACACTTTGGAGTGAACCCCACCCTGAGCCGGGTGCGAGGATCAGCCACGGGTGTAGATGATTTTGAAGAGAAAACGCAAGCGAGCGCAGAGGACCTTCGAAACACCCCAGCCCTGTGAACACACGCTGCCTTCTCGGAGCATTTATTTGGGTCGTAATAGTCTCCGCCAAGCCCACAAAATGTTTATGACTCACATCCCCGCAGCTGTAAAACTGGGGACTAGGTTTTGGCTGACATCTCTCCTGGGTCTCCCTCTCTCTTTCTCCCTCACTCCCCTTTTCATCTTTCGATATAGGATATACATGTTGGCATTACAGAAACACATATTCATTTTACTTCCTTATGGAACACACAGGACTTCACAGCATCTGGTGGTAAGAAGGGTTTTATAGCTTTTTGGATAGCCACCCGTGGCCGTGTGTCATAATCGGCAGAAATACCGATTTATGTAATTGTAAATAAACAGCAAAATAGCCTAGCCAGCCAGTGGACACAGATAGAAAACTCATTTTTCTAACTACAAATGTACTGTCGCAGAGTGGCCATGATCTCTTCTCTCCAGGTAGGTGCAGGTTGCAGGCGGCTCAGAGGCCTGGTGAACTACCTAGTCCGGCAGCCTTCCACGCCCTTGACTGGGAGACTGCTCTCTCCTACAGTGTCCCTTCACCTAGGCAAGACGGGTGTAGAGCTAGCTCATTTACTTACTTCAGGGAGGAATTAGTCCCTGCCTCCAAGCCAGGAGCCTCTCACTAGGTGGGGGACACACTTGAAGCCCTGTAGCCCCAAGGATAGAAACTTTTTAAGAAGTAAACTCTGATCTATCCGACTTTACTTTGGAAGGCATGATTCACTATCAAGACCTGAGATTATATTCTTAAATAGATTTAAACATAGAGGACTATTTGGTGTCAAAAAACGGAAAATAGACTCCACAGTAGGTACAAAGCTAACTCAGAGAACCATGGAAAATAACTAGATATCGCCAGATTAAAAACCGGCTTACATGTGTCTGTCCAGGGCACAGAAATAATATCTCCATGAATATATTCATGCATAATAGATACATTTCAGCCAAATAAATCGGGAATCAACCATTGGAGAGAACACTATTAAACAGGCCTTACTGAGAGCTTGATTTTGTCCAGCCTTTTTTGTTTCAAAATGTGGCCGCATAAGACTGCAGGGAAGAGAGACACCCAGAAACTAGAAATGAAGGGGAGGTTTTTTGTCACTCCAGCGCCCTGCCCAGTTGGAGGATTTGAGCCCAGAAGCACCAAAGCCTTGAAAGCAGCAGAATCTAGACTCTCCTTAGCGGGGGGCAAAGCGGGGCTGAGCCTCCCGAAACAACGCTTGAACACGCTCGGGTCAAACTCAGGCACAGATGAGCCTGACTCCAGACTCTTCCCTGGCCACCTCAAATCGCTCCCCACTTGGGCTGTTAGGTCATCTTGCTTAAAGAAAGTTTTACTTTAAACATCACTGTTCTCCACTGCTGCAGTGCGGCAGTCTAGACACATCGCAGCGGCAGCCGGGTCTTTCACTTTGTGCCTTGCTCTGTGTCACCCAAGGAACAATTTATTGGTCTAAAGCTGTCTAATTCCGCCTCTTTGATCTCCTAGCCTTCTTTTTGTTTGCTTCTTCCTTTAACTTTCTTAGATTTTTATTTACCCGCTAGAAGATCTCATTTGGATTTTTTTCAAACCCTTTCCATTTTACCCTCTCTGTTTCCCATCCTGATCCACCACAAAGGGAATTCCAGATATTACTGTCCCAGGATCCCTAAGCCCCCAGGGGAGACAGCCCAGCTCCCACCCACCCTCCCCACCCAAGCCTGAGCCCTTTACTAGGTAGGTGCTGGGACTGGATTGCATCCCGATTTTAGCCATCCGTCGGTCTTTTGTGTTCCCAAGACCCCCTAAGAAGGTACAGTGAACCGGGGCATCCTGAACCCACTGAAAGTGATAAGAAGTTCTTTGTACACCAGGAACCAAACTCTATAATTTAGAGGAGAATTTCCGGGGCAATTCCATTGTGAAGTCCGGTTTATGGTGTGCAATCAAGCTGGGTAGTAAAAGGTGGCCACTCTTCCAGCTTGGCCTGCGCAGTTTATGAGGCCTTTAGGAGAAGGGTTCACCCAACCATCCTCCAGAGAGTGGTGGGTAGCAGGGGCTTCAGCTGGTCTAACAGTGCAGCAGGAGTCTGAAGCCTGGCAAGATAGGCATCCCAGGTTGAGGGCCTGTCTGGGAGAGAATGAGATTATTCTGTGTTCCAGTAATGTGAGCCAGTGCTTAGAAAGGTAAAGCTGGAGATCTGAGTAGCTCTTGGAGAAGGCTCCCTTATTTGTTTTTATTGTACCCTAAAGAAATGGGGTCCTAAAGTGAGCTACAGACCCCAGGCACTGGGATCCCCTCTCTCCAAATCAGCTGTAAATGTCTGCTCTCGGTCCTACAAGGTCCAGGGGTGGCTTAGCTGAAGGCTGCCAGAAACCTCCAGTGTTGGACGGTGTGCCTGGAAAATTGCGTGGCCTGAGCTTGCTGGGTCTGAGAAGACCCACTGCCTCATGAAGTTATCAGGGGTTGTAAGAAGGACAAAGGGATGTTAAGCCATTTATTGGACTGCTTGCTGCAGGCCAGCCAGGTGCCTCAGAGCGTTTGCACAGCGGCTGCACGACTACGGTGTGGGGAGGAGGGAAGGGAACACCATGTTAATAAATCTGTTGGCAAATGAGACTCATTAATAGATAAATATTTCACTGCTTCCTTTAGGGAGGATAAACAGTGAGCCACCGATTATGAAAAGGAAGCTGGGAGACGTTGACTTTATTCCAACCACATGGTTCCATTTTGTGGCGTTGTTCTCTCTGCTGCTGCTGCTGGTGGTGGTGGTGGTGGTGGTGGTGGTGGTGGTGGTGGTGGTGGTGGAAGAGACCAGCGCCTGGCACGTCTGGATCAGCCTCAAATCTGGCCTGCAATCTTCTCTCGCTCAGAGAGAGTTGAGCAATGAGGTCTGGCCATCAACAAGACCTACTCTCAAGGCCATCGTGGGGCAGGCAGGTTGCAGAGATACTGCAGGGGCTCGGTCCGCAGAGAGGACATGGACAGGGGCATCCAGGCGCTGGATCTGGGGTTCACTAATAGGTATGAGGGGCGGTACTGGGCGAACCCCGCAGGTCATCCGCGGACTCTGGTGCCCCGGATGGAGGGAGGCAAAGCGCTCCCGCGGAGCCTCGGGATCCTTTTCCAAGGGGCGCATCGGGCCAGCCGGGCGAGGGGCGCCGGCCTTTCTCGGCCGCGTATTTGAGCCTCTTCCCCTTCCATTCTAGGCGACCAGGAGCCCGCGGAGCGAGACCACCTGCGAGGGCGGCTGAGATTGGCGGAGGCGGTCATGTGGGCGGTCACGTGCTGCGGTGAGCTCCGTCCAGAAGAAAATGGGGTTTGGTGTAAATCTGGGGGTGTAATGTTACCATATATCACGCTACCTCGTAAAACCGACACTGAAAGCTGCCGGACAACAAATCACAGGTCAAAATTATGAGTTCTTCGTATTATGTGAACGCGCTTTTTAGCAAATATACGGCGGGGGCTTCTCTGTTCCAAAATGCCGAGCCGACTTCTTGCTCCTTTGCACCCAACTCGCAGAGAAGCGGGTACGGGGCGGGCGCTGGCGCCTTCGCCTCGACTGTGCCGGGCTTGTACAATGTCAACAGCCCCCTCTATCAGAGCCCCTTCGCGTCGGGCTATGGCCTGGGCGCCGACGCCTACAACCTGCCCTGCGCCTCCTACGACCAAAACATCCCTGGGCTTTGCAGTGACCTCGCCAAAGGCGCCTGCGACAAGGCGGACGAGGGCGTGCTGCACGGCCCGGCTGAGGCCAGTTTCCGTATCTACCCCTGGATGCGGTCCTCAGGTAGGAGCAGCCGCTAGGCGGCTCGGGCGTGCGGGAGGAGCGGGAGCTGGGAGCGCGCGGCTCGGGGGGAGCCGGCGGCTGGGAGCGGCCGCCCCTGCCCCCGACTCCCGGCTGTGCTGCCTTTCTGCTTTTAATTAGAGCTGGGGCTCCATTGCGTGGAGAGCCCATAGCATTGTATGTAAATGAGGCTCATAAAACTTTTTATGGCCCAATTAATGGATTCGATCCTCGTAAATTTATTTAATTCCATTTGCCTTGAAATTTTTGCATTAAGTTTCTCTGCTATATTCTGTCTCTCTCTCCCTCTTTTTCTCCTCTCGCTCTCCCAGTCCTCTCTCCCCTCTACTAGTCCTCTCTCCCCTCTCCTGTCTTCTTTCCTGTCCCTCTTCTTCCTCTCCCTCTTTTTCTCTCCCTTAATCTTTCCTTTTATCGCCCACTTTCCCTTCCTCTGATCTTTCTCTCCCGCTCTCCTCCTCCTTTTCCTTTCTGCCTGGCTTTCTTTCTCAAAGGCTGGAAGAGCCAAGACCTCCCGGACCCCTCATCCACCCCTGTGCCAGAGACCATTTCCAAACCCGGCCGGGAGGAAATGGGCCTCTGCAGAGGGTGGGAGTGCCCTAGGAAGGTCTTGGGGATGGGACTGCTGAGGATGGTTGCCCACTTATCTATCAAGGCCGGGGAGCGCCTGGGCTTGCCTTTGAATGGCAAAAGTGCAGGGTCACCCAGTTACCACACTCTGTATTTACAATTTCCTTTTGTCAGGGGGACGCAAGACATTGTGGAAGCGTAGCCGGCTGGAAAGGTCGGTTGTAAAGTTGGAATTCTGGGCCGAAGCTCCTCACAGAGTTGCTGGCTTGTCTGGCACTGCAGTCGGGGTCTTCGCTAACACTTCCCCTCCTCCCTCAGCTCAATTAGGGGTGAGGGGGTTGAGCCCGGGTTTGGGCAGGGAGGAAGGTACAGGCTTTTAGACAAGCCGGCCTAACTAATGCACTCTTATGTGCACATCGCTGTCTGCTTGTCGATGTGCCCATGTGTTCAAATTTCTGCTCTCAGGACCCGACAGGAAGCGGGGCCGCCAGACCTACACGCGCTACCAGACACTGGAGTTGGAGAAGGAGTTCCACTTCAACCGCTACCTGACTCGGCGCCGCCGCATCGAAATCGCCAATGCGCTCTGCCTCACCGAGCGCCAGATCAAGATCTGGTTCCAGAACCGCCGCATGAAGTGGAAGAAAGAGCATAAGGATGAGGGCCCGGCCCCCACCGTGGCCCCCGAAGGCACGGTGCCCTCCACCTCCTCTGCTGTTGCTGACAAGGCAGAGGAGGAGGAGGAAGAGGAGGAGGAAGAGGAGGATGACGAGGAGGAGGAATAAAGGGCCCTGGCTGCGCCGGACAGTCAGAAAAGCGTCTTTAAGAGACTCACTGATTTTATTTACAAAAATGGGCGGAAATAAAATGTTTTGTTTTTTTTTTTTAAAAAAAAGAAGGAAACAGTTCCCAGCCCTAATCCCACCCACTCCATCACCCACTCTAGCTAGCTCCCAACTTTTCTGGACTGAGCAGCCAGGGAAATTAGGTCACCTTGGGAACCCTCTCTGGCTCTGAGGGTCCCAATGGATAGTCCCACCCCTAGGCCAGTGTTGTGCGCTGGCACAGCCAAAATACTACCTAGCACAGGCCTCCTTGAGAGGCACCCCCAAACTACCTATGGGCCCAGCCCCACTGGGCCTCCACTCCCAGGAAGCCCTCTCCATGTCCCAACACTGGCAGACACCCAGCACCACCACCCCCATACCCGAAAAACAAACAAACATGATTTGCTCAGTACTACCTACTAGCCCTAAACTACCTATCTTGTGCTGGCTGGCTTGCCTGCTTGTTGCCCACCCCTCCCAGGCCAGACCCTTGATGCTTCTAGTTGACAACCTTTGGGGTCCCGGAGGCTTCACTGACAAGGCAATGGGATCCAGGGACCAGGGCACTGGCTTCTATTTAAATGAAAAGATAATATATTTATTCCAAAGCATACCAAGTGCTGCAACCTAGAATCCCTCTTTTTCTGGCTTTGGCATCTCAAGTTCAGGACCATTACCCCTACTTCTGGAGGGAAGCCTTCCTGAGCTGGCTGCAGACCTCTGGGTTAGCTTCTGCTTTGTGGGGCTAAGGAGATTCTCTTAGCCTCACTGTCCTCTCCCCTGCTTCTGTGTCCTACTGTTCAGCCATGTTAAATACGTATACCCTGACTTTTCCTACCAGGACAAATACTGTATATTTGAACCAGATTTTTTTTTTTTTGGTCATTTCTATAATCATTTGTAAAGGAATGTCTTGACTTGGGAAGGGTGTGTTAATGGGATGACTTTGCAGCATGGTGTGTTGTCTTGAGCTAATTCTGTAGTGGGTGCGGGAGGCCCAGTGCCCTCCCCAGTGCCCTTCATCTCCTGTGTCATCCCTCACCCCCCTTGACTCTAGCTTGGGTTTTAGGGAAGACATGCTTCCCAGTCCAGCTACCCATGTTTTCTGTAACAAAAAATAAAAATGCTTGATGACAAAGAGACGTGGACTGCTTTATCCAGAGGGGCTGGGGCAAGGGGAGGTGGCTATAACTAAAGGGTATGGCCTGGCTGAATGCCCAGAGAAGCAAGAGGAAACAAAAGAGGAGGAACTGTCTTTAGGTCCAGGTTTTAAATGTCCATGTATTGACATATACGTGGTGTCATGACTCCTTTACATGTTTTTATGTGTAGATTTGTATGAATAAGCATGTGCCTATTTTGTGTGTATTGTTCTGTGTATGTTTGCTTATAGTTTTTCATAGTTATGTACATTTCCACATACATAATGTATTTGTTAACAATTGTGTACCGATATATGTCTATAATTGGGTGCATGTGTTTTTGTCTATAATTGCACGTTTTTCTGGGTCCATAATTGAACGCTTGTATTTTCTTGCATCTGTAACTGTGTATGTGCCTTCCTCTTTTTAGATATTTTTGTCTGGTTATTGTGTGTGTGCACGAATATCTAGATCCTTTCAAATATTTGGCAAATACAATATATTCTATCAACCTCCTCCCAAACTTCTAGAAATTCCATGAACGAATTCCAAATCCAACCTTTCCTCTAAAGCTATAGTCTGGGCTCTAAAACGGGTATCACCTACCCCTCCAACTGATTCTGGATTCTGCATGCGCCCTGAGTCCAGCCCTAGAGCAGGAAAAGGGATCTAGGGTCCCTGCCGCAGCACCCCCACCCGGCGTTCAGTAGAGGCGAGCATGCCCTAGGGCCCAGCACCGCAGTAGAGGGGTTCCAGGAGAGGCAGAGGCCTGCAAACTCTGACTGGGCAGCCTAGGCAGGGCATCTTGGTGCCGGGGCGCAGGGCGAATTGGGGGTGGGGGGGTGACAGCGGCTGGGGAAGGGGTTGGGGAAGGGACAAGAACAGACTGGAAAGGGGCGAGGGGCGGTGGAGGTAGTTCAGAGCACCCTGAGCTCGGCCAGCGAAGACCTCCATTCTTGTCTTCTGCCTGGGTTGGGCCAGCTTAATAGGGCTATTTTAATAAAATCAGGCCCCAAATGGTCTGTAAAGCCTGCAGCCCCAAGTCGGGGCAGCTTCGGTGGTAAGATGGCGCCGGTGTAAGAGCTGCCTCCTCTTAGTGATGGGGAAAGGGTCATAAATCCGTTGTTGTTTATGAAAATTTACAACTTTGCAATACAACTTTATGAGTTGTTCGGCCCTTCCATTGGCCGCTGTCGGTCATGTGGATAGGAACCGTGAACATGAACTTTTTTATAATTTCCCTTGCGAGAATAGAGCCGCATTCTTTTGCTCCGCTCGGTCCTGCGTGCTTCGGAGCTCTGCCTTCCCAGCCTGGGTAGGCTGCTGCTTTGTCCGGCGATGGCGAGCGAGGGGATGCCATGGCCAGGCCCTGGCCGGCCGCTCTCGCTGGAGGTGGGGCGCGTCCAGTTCCATGACCCGCAGCGGACGCTTTACAACTCGCAACCTGGCTAATTTCCTGCGTCCTGTGGCATCAGGAAAGAGGACAATTCGTCTCTCGGGCTGCCCAAGCGACAGCTGTCAGGATTCTGGGAACCGCCATCTGAAGGTGAGACAGTGGGGAGGAGTCAGGGGTAAGGTAGTGAGGTGCCACAGCGGTGGGAGAGGGCACCCAGGGCGACTTTAAAGAGGGGTATTTCTCACCCTAACCAGTATTTGTCCCCTCACACCCCCAATGCACACCACTGCCCTCACTGGCACTCATTCTCACACATTACACCACCACCACATCACACCCTCTCTTCCCTAGCTCACCAAGGCAGTGCCAGCCTTCCCTCTGTGGCATAGCACCCTGGCACCAGGCAACTGCGCTTGGATCTTCTATTCCCACCCCCTCCCCCTGGTGAACCCAGGGAGCCACCCAAAAGAGTCATCTCTCACTCTGCATTCCCCATTAGCCTCTGGGGTTTGGATTATTTCATTAATGATTTAATTGGTTCAACTGAATTCCCCAAAAACCAGAGGCACTTCCCAACCTGGGAAGGTAGGAAGAGGCGAGGGCAATGCAAGGTAACCCACAGGCGTTTTATTAGATCAGCACAGCATTGTCTTCTGTGGGACTGGTTTCAGAGAGAAAGGTGGATGGGGGAAAACAAGCAAAAACAAAAACAAAACTTACTAATTCGGAGTTCTCAGCTGATTGCCTGCTTCCCTTTGCTTGGTTTTCTGACGAGAGAGATGTCTGGAGCCCCTGGAGAGGGACTAGGTGCAAGTGTGGAATTCTGTGTTAGAGGAGAGAATGAGGTTAATTGGGTGCTACACGGTGAGATATTTCGGTACAGAGGACTATTGTGTTGATGCGGATGGCAGGACCACATCTAATGTTGAAGGAAGGTTGCAAACGGAGTCTGAGCCGTTGGGGGACCGCCCCCGCATCTCGGGGGAAATAACAGGCTGATGTCCATGTCCCCCCACCTCCTGGGCCAGTAAGGAAAGGATTATAGTTAGCCTAGCCGAGAGGAGGCACTGAGCGTCTGCTGGCTTTGCGTTGCGCGGTGGCACCAACCCTGGCAGGGCCTGGACGTGCATCTGACCAGGTCGGATTTGCCCCGGGGGGCTCTCGGGACAGCAACATAATAATCAATCCCGACCTTTTACGCTGTAGTTCTTTCTGTTTATTTGGGTTTTGTTTGTTGTTGTTTCACTAGCTCCAGATGTGCTGTCGGTATGCGCTAGACAATTAAGGACATGTAGACATTTGAGACATTCGCCCACCGCGACTGTGGGTGCGCTCCGGGCAGATAAAGCGGAGCTTTCGCCTCCTAGGGGTGCTGGCTGCCTGACTGTGGCTGCGGCGGGCGCATTATTTATTGCGCGGGAGCTGGGAGCTCGCTGCTGCCACGCTGTGGCCATCGCCGGGACCGGCGCCAGCCGCAGCCCGCCTTCTTAAGCCTGGCGCGACTGTTGTACTGGCCCCTCAGAGATTCCCCAGAAGGCAGGGGAAAGGGGGACAAAAGGGGACCTGAGGGGCAGTCTCCCAGGGTCTTTGTGGCTGTGAAACCTCCTGCCTCCGCTACCCCAGATAGCGGAATAGACTCGGGTCTTTCCCTCACCCCCAACTCAGCACCATGGAGACTGGTTGCACAGGCCGCCTGGACGGTCAGTGGCTGCCTCTATCCAAACTGAGCTTCCCAAAGGCGCCTAAGAGGCGCACGCTGGTTAGGGGAACGCACTGGCTTTGGGATTCTGACATCGGAGAGAGCAATTGTAGTTCTGAGGCCTTTGGGCCTCTCTGGTCCTGAGAACTGGCTATGGCAAGGAAGGCAGGTTCTGGCTCCAGGCAAGGGCCTGGGGCAGGCAGAGGCCGCACCTGTGTGCTTTGGGTTCTGGGCTAGTGATCTGACTGGATGGACCTTCGAGGTCACCACACGCACCTGCAGGCCAGCCTCCGGGCTGGCAGAAGTGGAGGGGATCAATGGGCAGCCCAGGGCAAGTGCGAACTGAGTGACTACTTGCTGTCCCTTTGAAGAGAAAATGAAAGGTAAGTTTTTCTGTGTGGCTTTGACCTACCAGAGAGAGTCCAGGGATGATCATTCTAACCATCTGAGGAGAGGCCCTATTGAGAGTGTGGGGCTCCTTTTCTCCACTCAGTGTGTCAGCACAATCTCTCTCTCTCTCTCTCTCTCCATATAGAATAGAGATTTTCAGTTCTATCTATTTTTTCTGCAAATGTCATGATTTTGCATTATATATATGTATATATATATATATATATATATATATGAATAAATTGGTTGACTGCCAACATAAAAAATGCACTAACCTTGGCTTACACATAAAGGTTTCAGTTTAATATTTTTTCCCATCTTAATGCTTATAGAAGCTAGAAATGTAATGTTTCCTGGCTTTTAACTGAGAAATCTAATTCTCTCATTGGCTGAGACAATTAGATCTATAATCCAGGTCAAAGTATAGCAATAACGGTAGTAAACCGCCACTGGCTCCAACACTGTGTGCAATATGAATGAAAGAGAAATTAGAAATGTAAATATTTAACATCCACAAATACTTGTTTTCATTTCAAATAATGCTTGAAATCCTTATCTAATCATTTTGTTTAACAATGGCTCAAGCTTATTTTCTTCAAGCACATTTTTAAAGAAAAAGCCTTTTATTTTTTGATTCCTGAATTTTCATTTTCCCCTACTGAATCCTTTCCATGAAAAATAAGTGTGAGAAATATTAAGTTTTAGTCTTTCCTGGATAACCCTCATTTATATACAAAGGAAAAACTTTCCTGGGTTGGACTGATAAAGGTTCAGGCACAAGGCTTCTGAAGCAGCATTCAGGGATGCCTACACAGGCTGTATAGAGGCTGACCTTAAGCAAGCACTTTTCCAGTTTTCCCCTTTGGGGCAAGGGAGGTCAGGAAAAAAAAAATAGAAAAGCAAGAAAGAGATTAAAAGAGCCGTTATCAGATTCCTATGGGGCCATTGCCAATTGTCACCTCCCCCAAGCCTGAACCCCATCAAGTCTGCATTGGTCAAGGTTTTACATATCTTGCAAACAACCTCCTGAAATCTGACCAAATTGCTTAAATAGTCTCTTTGGCCTCTACAGAATTGAGGATTTTAAAGCTAAATGGAGGGATTTTATAAGCCCAACAAGCACAGTGGTAAAAATGCCATTGGACCAATATCACATTTTACAAAATTAGGCTGATCCCTGTGCTGTAAAAGTCAACTATTTCCAAAGCACACATCTCAGGCAAGCCCCAAAGACAGGCATTTAATGTTCTATATGGGGACTGCAGGCCTGGGAGGGTGGTAAAGGCAATTCAGGACTTCTGGAGCCAGTGACAGGATTGTTCCGGTTTTGAAGTAGACTGGGGAAAGGTAGAACAAGAGGGTGCACCGGCGACAGTGTCCGTCACCGGACACCCTGGAAACCAAGCCCATGCCCATTCATTATCTTGTGTGAAGCTTTGGGCCCCAGGAAGGAATTTATGCGCCCTGCTCAGCCAGGGGCCCTGCATCTCCCTGGCCTCTGGGGTTAAAATGAAGAGAACCTGTATCTGGATTTTTATCTGTCCTAGCTCTGAGACATTCCTGCAGAGGAGTGAGAGTCCTGGGTTGCTGGGTGAGGGTCCCATGGATGGCATCCTAGCCTAGTCTCACAGCCGCTCTACGTAGATCCTTGCTTGTTGAAACCATGGGTTGTGGCTTCTCCTTTTCCTGGATTCAAAGACAGGATAAGGTGCGCAGCTGATGAAGATGCTTGCTCTAAGACCAGGCAGGCACCGGACATTGCAGGGGAGTCAAACAAGAAGTGTGGTACTAGGTTGAAGGTGCTGCTAGAAAAGCCCATGTTTGGCCTTGTCCTGGTCTGCTAGTGGCAGCAAAGCCCAACCTGTAGTAGGAATGGGAAGTAATAAGGGGGTGTACCGATCCCTAAAGCACAGGACTGAAAAGCAAAGGGGGAAGGCCTGGCTTCACAGCCCCTTTGCCTGCTCAAGAACCCACACTCAGGAGTAAGGGTCACAAGAGGAGGGGCAGCTCAGGGCCATGCCTGGGACTGTAGGCCCACCACAGCAAAGCCATCCTTGTCACCGCCCCTCCAGGCTCAGGCTTGTGAGATTTCCTGTTTGGAGGGGAAACCCAGCAAAATCCAACAAGGCAAATGGGGGAAGAGCTAGCTTGGTGGGGCCTTCTCAGAAACCTGGGGGCTAGTGTCTCTACTCCGATCCGATCTGCACGTTCCTGCCCTGGTCGTGCCCGCCGATGGCGTTCGGGGGAAAGAGAGGGGGCCGGCTGGCTGTGTGCGCCCATTAATCTGCCCGGCGGCGGGCGGGCGGGCAGGCGGGCTGGGGGCTGTTTGTAACTTTGCTGCCTCGGTCGCCGCGGTCCCCGGGGAGCGGGCTCTGGCGCTCGCTCCCATTGGCCGCCGCCGCGTCAGCTGGTGCGATTTGCTGCTGTCGCTTTTGGCGTTCGGCCATCCAGAAACAAACCAGTTCGATGACTACTAATAGTTATAGCCAGATGTACTAATACACAACAAATCACAGTCCTGCAGAGGGGCGCGCAAATGAGTTCCTATTTTGTGAATCCCACTTTCCCCGGGAGCCTGCCCAGCGGCCAGGACTCCTTCTTGGGCCAGCTGCCCCTCTACCCGGCCGGCTATGACGCGCTGAGGCCCTTCCCGGCCTCTTATGGGGCGTCGAGCCTTCCGGACAAGACATACACTTCACCTTGTTTCTACCAACAGTCTAACTCTGTCCTGGCCTGCAACCGGGCGTCCTACGAGTACGGGGCCTCATGTTTCTATTCTGATAAGGACCTCAGTGACGCCTCACCCTCGGGCAGTAGCAAGCAGAGGGGCCCCGGGGACTACCTGCACTTTTCTCCCGAGCAGCAGTACAAACCCGACAGCAGCAGCGTGCAGGGTAAAGTCCTGCATGAGGAAGGCACCGACCGAAAGTACACGAGCCCAGTTTACCCCTGGATGCAGCGGATGAACTCCTGTGCGGGTAAGGCATTTTCCTGCACACCCCCACCCTAGACAGTGGAGGGAGAGGGAGAAGCTGTCAGGGAGAAACGGAAAGAAGGAGAGAAAGCAGCCTGAGGAATAGAAAGAAAGTAATAAACCAAGTTTCCTTCTGTGTGTGTTTTAAGAGATTTTTAGGAAGAAAAAGAAAACCCATTCTCAATGGTGCAATCAGGCCCAGCCTGAGGAAAGTCAGGCAATAAGATCCCTGTAAGGTGACACTTTAGGGGAGGGTGAGGGAATCACTTGCCAAGCTATAAGAGACCTGCTACAGGGCCAACCAGAAGAGATAGGGAAGCTGGTTGGGAGAGCTTGCCCACATACACCCACTGAGATTTCCAGAGAGGGCTGAGGTAGGAGTCACTGATAAACTCCTTCACCTCTCAGCCCCTTTCCTTTCTGCCCTTCAGAAGCCCCAAAAGGGAGAGGCCCTCAATTGGCCTCCTTCAGGTCTCCACCAAGCCTCGGAGGGCCACCTCAGAGCACTTGGCTCTCTCTCTCTCTCTCTCTCTCTCTCTCTCTCTCTCTCTCTCCCTTCTCTCCCCCTCTTTCTCCTTCCTTCATCTTCCACTCAACCTCTCACTCTAAGCCAACTTCTGTCTCCTCTTGAGACCCTGCCTCTGCCTCCCACCTGATTTGGGGGGTGGTTCTTTCACCCTGGGGTACATTTGGCACTAAGACAGGCAGTCCAATACAGTCCCACACTACCAGAAGCCCTAGACCACCTATAGCTCCCTCTCTTTGGTTTCCAAAAATCCCACAGGGAAACCATTTTCCTTTTAGAACAGGACAGACTAATGGGAACTTTAAAACTTACAGTGTTTTACTTTAAAATCCACTGTCTCCCCAAAGAAATTGTGTTTTTCAGATGAGTCCTATAATTTTCAAGAATATGCAAAGATTTGAGAAGGCTAGCCATATTTAACTCCCCCTCCCCAATGCCATGCATTGAGTCCTGACATGAGTGGCCTCAACAGCATCTTTCATAGAAACTAGTGTGTGGATTGAGTTTCCACACTGCTCCCAGGGTTCCACTCCACCCACCCCTAAACAAATACACACTACAGCCCCCAAAACTGTGACTTTGGTGTCCCAAATTAAGAATGCCCATGCTATTTCTTCACTCACAATGCTTTTGTTTTTGTTTTGTTTTTTACAAACTACATTTGCCAAAGACAATAATTTCCCAACTCAAATCGTTTTAGGTGGAAAGCGTCTCGCTTGGTATGAAATAGTCTTTGCCATCCTGCTGGTTTTTTGCCGCCCCCGTTGTAGTGGAAGAAGTTGGAGTGGAGATAGGGTGGTTTCCAGCTTAGAGCCTACTGGTGGGAGGCACAGGCCGGACTGCTTTGGCCTCGCTTACCCGCACCGGCTCATTTCTGCCTGCAGGTGCTGTGTACGGGAGTCACGGGCGCAGAGGCCGCCAGACCTACACGCGCTACCAGACACTGGAGTTGGAGAAGGAGTTCCATTTCAACCGCTACCTGACTCGGCGCCGCCGCATCGAAATCGCCAATGCTCTCTGCCTCACCGAGCGCCAGATCAAGATCTGGTTCCAGAACCGCCGCATGAAGTGGAAAAAGGAAAATAAACTCATCAATTCCACGCAGCCCAGCGGGGAGGACTCTGAGGCAAAGGCCGGCGAGTAGGCTCCAAAGCAGGACCAGGCCAATGCTGCAACCTCTTTTGCCCCCCCCCCGCCGCCCCGCGCGCCCTTGCCTGCTCCCCAAGTTTTCTTCCAGCCTGCTCCCATGGGGGGGGGGGGCTTCTGCAGCTTAGGGAACGCCTAAGCTTTGCAAGCGTCTACGCATTAACTTATTGCAGAGAACAAACAAAACCCCACACACCCAATCTCAGCTGTAGAACAGACGCGCTATACACAAACAAGTCCTCTCCCCAAGGCTGTCCAAGCCAGCTCTGGAGTCCCGGGGTGCTCCAGGATTTTTCCCCTCTGCTGTGTCCACACCTCGGTGCTCCCGGAACTCCAAGGTCCAGCTCGGGGTTGTCAGGGAAGAAAGAGCGCCAGGCCGTGCCCCTGTTTGGTATCTAGGCTCCTCCACCTCGATCACTCTCCACCGAGTCCTAAAGGGCATCCTCAAATCATGTCTGGCTACCGGCAAGAGAGGGCCTAAGACCCGAGCCCCAGCCCTGTTGCGGCCTCTCAGGATGCCCCCCAAAAGAAATTGGAGGAACAAAGGGGATTCCCCCCCCCAACAGAAGCCGCATAACCGTCAGTGGACAACCCGCAGCCTGAGCCAAGTTGAGCCAACCTGAGCGCGGGTGGAACATTACAGCCCAAGGAGCGACTAGGCTCCCCCAGGCTCCCAGCTCCTGACTCCGGCTCCCAGCCTCGAACAGGGCAGGCTCCGAGGGGGCCCAGCGCTGTGGGGCCCGGCTCGACTCCTAGCTTCCAAAAGTGCCAGGGCCGCCTGCGATATGGGATCTCTGGTGGGGAGAGTCCGCTGGCCCCTCGGCTATATTTGAGATTTACTTTCATCCTTCGGAGCCCAGAAAAACAACTACGGAGAAACTAGACCCTGCCACGAAATGATTCCATTACTTCCCTCAATTTACTCCTGGAGGGCTTGGCAATATCCCAGTAGCGCGCGGCCCACGGATCCCCAGCCCCGGAGCAGCCTCTGTGGCTGCAGGGAGTCTGGGCCCACTCTCTGGGTTCACCGAGCACCCTACTATTTGAGGCCCGGCGGGCTGGAGGAACGCGACCAGTGGTGAAGATTCTCCAGACTGGATAAATAAGCAAATCAAACACCAAACTAATAACACGAAAAACTTATTTACAAGAAAGAAAAATCGACTCGTTATAGAACTGTATGGAATTGGACCTCGCCTCGGAGAAACACTACACAAAAGCTATCTTTAATAGACGCCTGTCATTTAAGAGCGGCAGGGACACTGTCCTTAATGCGCTCACAAAAACAGAGCCGCAATTGTGGCTGCTGCTGTGGTCAGGATTTATTTCTTCAATTGGCTAAATGGTTTCCTCCCCTTCCCTGGAGGTGATATCTGTATTTTCAAAATTCACAGCTACCGGCAGGACTGGCAGAACCGACCCCAACTTTAACACAAAAATAAGAAGGGCTACAAAGCGGGGGAAATAAAGTTATTGTAAATAATTCCAAGTCACCACCTCCCCTAATCCTCAGCACCGTCGCCGGGCGTGCGATCGGCAGCTGACGGCCTCACAATTGGTACATCCTAATGGAACTGCGAGGGAAATGCAATAATTTTGCCATAATGGGCTGTAACCTCAATTCGACCCCGGCCCTTTGCAGCCCGAGGTCGGAAGCGAAGCAATGCGCCATGCCTCCAGCGGGTGGCGCTCGAGTCCGACTGAACGGCGGCGGCGGGAGGCGGGCACGCGCCCGGGGCGCGCGCGCCACCCCTCTCGCCTCCACCCAACTCCCCCATTAGTGCTCGAGTTTACCTCTAGAGGTCATCAGGCAGGATTTACGACTGGACAACAAAAGCACGTGATTCGAAGTCGTACCCCATATTTGGGTGCCTACGTAGGAGGCAACCAAGTACATGTCCCAGTCATTTCCATAATTCATCATAAATTGTGCAAGGGTGCTATAGACGCACAAACGACCGCGAGCCACAAATCAAGCACACATATCAAAAAACAAATGAGCTCTTATTTTGTAAACTCATTTTGCGGTCGCTATCCAAATGGCCCGGACTACCAGTTGCATAATTATGGAGATCATAGTTCCGTGAGCGAGCAATTCAGGGACTCGGCGAGCATGCACTCCGGCAGGTACGGCTACGGCTACAATGGCATGGATCTCAGCGTCGGCCGCTCGGGCTCTGGCCACTTTGGCTCGGGGGAGCGCGCCCGCAGCTATGCGGCTGGCGCCACTGCGGCGCCCGCCGAGCCCAGGTACAGCCAGCCGGCCACGTCCACACACTCGCCTCCGCCCGACCCGCTGCCCTGCTCTGCCGTGGCCCCCTCGCCCGGCAGCGACAGCCACCACGGAGGGAAAAACTCCCTGGGCAACTCCAGCAGCGCCTCGGCCAACGCCGGCAGCACCCACATCAGCAGCAGAGAGGGGGTTGGCACGGCGTCCGGAGCCGAGGAGGACGCCCCTGCCAGCAGCGAGCAGGCGAGCGCGCAGAGCGAGCCGAGCCCGGCGCCGCCTGCCCAACCCCAGATCTACCCCTGGATGCGCAAGCTCCACATAAGTCATGGTAAAGCCAGCCTTTTTCTAAATCCACGCGTCCGCGGAGGCGCGGTTCTCGGTCCCCTTCTGTCCCTTGCAGCCTCTCTCCCTGTCTCTCTCCCAGTCTCGCCTCTCTCCACCCCACAGAGCCTCTCTCGGAGGTTCTCCTTTCCCTGCCTTCCTCCTTCCTCCTCCTCTTTTCTGCAGCATCCTACACTAGCAAATACCAGGGGAGTGGGTGGGGGTGGGGGGCAGGAAACTTTACATGCTGAAAAGAGAAAAAAGAGAAAAAATTCCATCTGGAACTCCAGCGCCTCAGAACGCTTCGGGGTCAGGCCAGCCGAGCAGGGCACAGATAGAGGATGGCAGTAGGGGCCGTGAATCGAGCTTGTCAGGGTGGATAATTTATGAGAAGGGCTACGCTGGGGAAACAGCGTTACTAATTAGAGCCCCCTAAAAGGGGCTTGGGGGGAATAATCGAGGCGAGGCCGGCAGGATTCTGAAGTTTGGGGGTAGGAGGGAGAGAGAAGGAAAGGGAAGAAAAAGAAAGCAGGCGCCCCAAGCGTACAGGCTGGAACAGGAGGCAGCTTGCAAGGTTTGAACTTTAACGGAGGGTGACCTGGAGGCCACTTGGGCACTCAGGAAAGGGCAGTGCTTCAATGCGTTTCTGAGCGGTGGGCAGCCTGGGAGGGCTGTGCCCCCTGCTCGGTACAACCAGTGCAGGGCCAGAGGGCAGAACAGGGGCGAGAGAAAGCCGGGCAGTCCTCTGAGACAGAGATCCAGCCTGACACGGGCTGGTTGTTCCCAGAGTCCGTATTGTTTTTCTCTTTAGAAAGGAAGGGAAGAAAATTCAGGAAGCATAGGTGGGGAAGGAGGACTTGTTGAACCTTTCTCCTCGGTGCCCCAGCTCAGGACCTTGGCTCTTCCAGCTGGCGGACTCTAGGAACCAGGTGTCCAGGAGCTGGTGGCTAAACCTCTGACATTTCTGTTGCAGACAACATAGGCGGCCCAGAAGGCAAAAGGGCCCGGACGGCCTACACGCGCTACCAGACCCTGGAGCTGGAGAAGGAATTCCACTTCAACCGCTACCTGACCCGCCGAAGAAGGATTGAAATAGCACATGCTCTTTGCCTCTCCGAGAGACAAATTAAAATCTGGTTCCAAAACCGGAGAATGAAGTGGAAAAAAGATAATAAGCTGAAAAGCATGAGCATGGCTGCAGCGGGAGGGGCCTTCCGTCCCTGAGTATCTGAGCAGTTAAAGTACTGAGCAGTATTAGTGCATCTCCAGTAGTGTCAATACTAAGGTGACTTTCTCAAACTCCCTTGTGTTCCTTCCGTGAAGAAGCCCTGTTCTCCTTGCCCTAATTCATCTTTTAATCATGAGCCTGTTTATTATCATTATAGCGCCTGTATAAGTGGATCTGCTTTCTGTTCATCTCTTTGTCCTGAATGGCTTTGTCTTGAAAAAAAAAATAGATGTTTTAACTTATTTATATGAAGCAAGCTGTGTTACTTGAAGTAACTATAACAAAAAAGAAAAGAGAAAAAAACACACACAAAGTTCCCCTTCAACCTCGTTTAGTGCCAATGTTGTGTGTTGCACTTGAGTTGTTTAACTGTGCATGTGCGTGGAAGTGTTCCTGTCTCAATAGCTCCAAGCTGTTAAAGATATTTTTATTCAAACTACCTATATTCCTTGTGTAATTAATGCTGTTGTAGAGGTGACTTGATGAGACACAATTTAACTTGTTTGACGTGTAGTGACTAGTGACTCTGTGACGAAAACTGTGACTCCAAGCGGTGTGTCCCTGCGTGCCTTTGTAGGACCCTTTGCACGAACTCTGGAAGTGGCTCTTATAAGCTCAGCTTCAGTGATGTATGTTTTTGTGAACAAAGTTACAAATATTGTCCAAGTCTGGCTGAAAAAAAAAAAAAACTCCCATTTTTTTTTTTTTTTTTTTTTTTTTTTTTTTTGGTATTTGTTTTTAAGGAAAAAAAAATACTGACTGGAAACAAAAAATAAACTTTCTATTGTAAGTTCTCTTGGTCTGGTTTGTGCCAAATAGTGAGCGCCTCTTTCTGTTTTTCTCTGTCCAGTTCTGGAAGCTGGTGAGTCTGAGGCTACCTGAGCAGCCTGCCTTGTTCATGAAGGCCTCAGACCAACATCCTGACCCATAGCCTCCCTAACTCTGACCCACCAGCAAGTTCAGGGCAGAAGGTGGAAAAGGCTGTAGGCATTCCAAAGCCTGAGTCCACCCTGCCCATCTCTGTGCAAACCAAGGAAACTTAATGGGTTCCAAAAAAGGAGAGAGAGAGGAGAGAGGAGAGGGGAGAGAGGAGAGAGGAGAGAGAGAGAGAGAGAGAGAGAGAGAGAGAGAGAGAGAGAGATCCAGGGCTTTGTTAGTCACTCTAGGGACCAAATAGATTCTAAGGCTGTCCTAGGCCTTTGCTGAAGAGGGTTCTCTGCCAGGTCATGGACCCCAAACCTTCTGCCCACTAACCCACCCCAGTATCCCTTCCCCACTTCTCTCCCTGAACCCAGTTGGCTTCTTTTTGCTACAAATGGAAAGTACTTACCCCATCCTAGGCCATTGGGAAACTCTTCAGAGCGGCTAAAGCGCAACTAGAGATTTGCACATTTACCGGCTGCTTACACTGATGCCGTCTTTCCTTTTAAAAGTTATAAAACAGTAAACTTTATAAGCCCCAGTTCCGGCTATATGACATTTGGGTGCCAAATGAATAGGGTTTTGTCTATGAATTAGATCGTAAAATCATCCATAGCACAGACAGATCGGCTCACTGGCTATAAAACGTCACGTGGGGCCATTAAAGTAAGTTTTATGGTTTTGGGGAGTTGACATCCAACATTATATACCACATAACATATAATCTCACTGACGCTGGACTCCATTTGACTCTTTTGCAGGCTACGTGTGCCGCCTGGTCATTCAAATGGTCAATTTTAGGTCCAGGACTGTCCAAACCACAAGTTCTCAAAACTCTCTGAAAAATGGTTCCCTCCGAGTTAAGGTAAGTCTCCTCTTGGGCGCTTTCAAGTTTATTTGCTCTCTGAAAAGTTTCTTTCTTGCTCTCTCTTCCTTTCTTTGGCCCAGTAATTCTGAAGCTGCCTCTGAATTCAAAAAGGGAGAGTAAACTTTTCCTCTGCCCAAATTAGCGATGCCAGAGCCAGCTTCGTGGGGCAGCGCGGTGGCCAGCGCCTGTGGCCGGCTGCATCCCCAGGCCTAACTTTAATTGCTGCACAACCGCGGATGTTAATGACTTCCGCTACTCCTGCGGCGTGCAAAAAGATGATTTTTGTGTGAGAATGGGCCTGTCCGTGGAAATTTGGCACCCCACCTCCAAGCTTAGCCAGGTCCAAGCTCTCTGGGGGTCGCAGAGTTCTGGGGTGGGGGCTGGGTGACCGAGGGGCGCTGGCCACAGGAGCGGAGGGCTGAGCTTCACTGGAGAGTTTGAAAGAAAGGCCAGGGCCGGGCCTAGGCCGACTGCGGCGGTATTCCATATAGGGCTGTAGCAATGTGTTTTCGCGGACCAGGGTCATTTGGCAGGTCTGGATTGAGCCGGCGGCCTTCGCCCCGGGTTTCCAGAGAGCGGAAGGGTGGCAGAGGCCCGAGAGGCCCGCTGGGCCCCTGGGCTCCGTGCGAGGCCTAGGCGGCTAGAGCCTGCGGGATGCTGCGGACAGCGGGTCCCCCACCTGGGGGGAGGGGTTGTTCATCTCCCCCGCACTCGGAGTACCAGGCCCTGAACCTTGTTTGCCTACTTGTTCTTTTTTTTTATTTTGCTGGGGCTCTTCTCACCCGCCTGTGAGACTGAAGCAATAAACTTTATGGCCGGATTTAACTTTCGTCTTTGAATCCTCAGGCTAATTGAAAGGGGTTAAAGCGCCTTCTTTTCTTCTGTTTCCCCTTTCCTTTCCCTTTACTTCTTTGTAGAATTAAGACACCTATATACAGGACTCTGGAAACGCAATTGAAGTGTTCCCCCTAGATAACACTACAGATTAGAGAAATTTACTCCTCTTCAACATGCAGACAAACCTCTCTTCTAAACTGTTCCTAAAGTTTGGGGAGAAATTGAGGTGTCTTCAATGCCCAACTTAAAAGTCCCCAGAGCTGTTAAGTTGTTTCCCGGCACATCATAAAGGGTAGTTTAGGAAAGAAATTGGTCGTTTGTCAGTAGGAGACTTCCTCCTCTCTTTTGTTAGTTGTTCTTTCTGTTTGATCCCAGGAAATTTACATAACCTATGTTTTCCAAAACAGTCTCCAAAATTGCCCCAATGGGTGAAGTAAGGTGAAATGAAAATTTCCTGGGTACAATTCCAACTTAGTCCCAGCCCCCCACATCCTTCAGTGGTAAACTGAGCCAAATAACTGGGGGCATTCTGGCCTGTCCTCAGGTCTTTTCAGGGTCAGAGTACCCACGAGGGACTTAACAGACTTTCTCCAATCCTGTCTGAGGCGCTTAGCCAAATTTTCCAACTGCATTGAGAGAAATGACACACACAAAAAAATGGGATCTTCTTTTTCTCTGGGGCTAGGTATTTTTCTGCAAGTACTAACTGGTAAAGGTGTTTACCAAGTGCTTAAAGAGAAAAAATTTAAACTATAGATTTGAAATTCCAACAAACGTTATTATGCAGAGGTCTCCTTCATTCAACAACAGGCACCCCAAAGTCAGAGGTTAAAAACAAAAAACCAAAAAACCCAAAACCTAGGACATTTTCCAAAAAAAAAAAAAAAAAAAAAAAAAAAATCAAAACCCTCCCAACAAATTCTAATTTTCTTGAATTATGGCAAGCTGATGAATCCATATAGTCATTTAGTGTATAGCGAATATTGGTATTTCAGCACTTAGAAAGATGTGTCCACCTCTTAGCGGGCACCAGAGTTAAAATTCTTCATGGATATGGGTTCTTATCTGATGTGTCTGAGAAGGCTGGATTCTTTGTTTTGAGGCTTGGAGTTTGGGGTTCTTTATTGGAAAACATTGGTTTGTGGTTTTATTTTGGTTGTATATCTGGTAGTTTTGCTTACATAATTGCTTGGTGTCTGAAATTAGAAACAAAACTCCCCAAAAACCATAGAAATGCTGGCAGATTCATCCTAGTACCTAGTAGAAAGCATCCATAGCACCTCCTGGCCACACCCAACTCTGGGGTGTGGGAGCAGGCAGAAAGGCTGGTGGAGTACCCAGTACCAAACCACCCAGGGGACCTTTCCCATGAGTTAAAAAAAAATTTACAGGCTGAGTATTTTCAGCTTGCTTATTTCTGTCTGTTTTAATCTTCATGAGGCTTAAGTAGAATATAAGAGAGCAGGTCAATCCAAGTGGAGTCAAGTGACTTTTAAGGAATACAAAGTCCAGTCAGATCTGTGTGGCTGTTACTGGAGGGATTATTTTTTTCTTTCTTCCTACTTTTATAGGAAGCATACTGAAGAGGGCAGTTGGTTATCTGCTCATTTTGCAGATGAGTTGTATCTTCTTGTGTAGTTTTTAGGGTTGGGTTATTTTTCTGCAGAGGAACTTACTTGGGGGGGAAAAAACCCTCTACCACTGAAGGCTTTATGAAGACATTCAGCCTCAGCCTGTGGCAGAAATCTGTGTGTTCCTCGTCTTATAAAAGGTGGCAGAAATGTGCAGGGGCTTGTTTGTTTCCACAAGCCAAAGTGACTATATTTCTGTAGCTCTAAATATAATAGGAAGCTTCTGGTCACGCTTACTTAGGGTTTATTAGGGTTTGCATAGTCTAATTTCACAATGTTATGCCAAGATTCCTTTTCTCCTGCTTCATTGTTGGTGGCTCTGAGAGAGCAAGATAGAATTTTCTGCCAGAAACAGTTGTGTTTACTTGTTGAGATTTAGAGAATACTATATCCAAATAATTACACCCTAAAATATCAGCTATTGAAAAGGAAGATAACTCTCTTAGCTTGAAAGAAGCCTCTAGCATCTCCCCTGCCTTGGCTAGGGTCTGCCCATGGCTTAGCCACTATGGAAAAGGCAAAGTATCTTTGGCTTCTAAGCCAGAGCATCTTTGACTTCTAAGGGGAGAAATTTCCTTCTAATCAATGACAAAACCATAAATGAGGTGCCAAGGCAAAAGTGAGGGGGTCAGTTTGGGCTCCCACCCAAATAGGGGAGGTGATCCATAGTACCATTCCAAGGGCCAGAGCTGGAAGATCAGTGCAGATTTGTTTTGTTTGGTATTTTCTGTAAAGAATTTTGTCCATCTCCCATCAGAGTTTCCTCACAAACTGGTCTTTTCAATAATAATATTTGTTATGAAGGTTATTAGGTAATTATTGCGATTTTGTTAAGCAGCCCTTGCTGGAGGTGAAGTCTGTCATCGCCTAACAAATGACGCTGGCGCAGTTCACTGCCGGGTTAAGTAAATGCAGAGAAGATAAATCTGCACACCCTAGGAATCGCCAGCAGAGCACGCTTTAGTACAAGTTCATAGTCAACTCGTCTGCCTGGGCCAGCTCTCTCAACAATTAAGGCTACGTCTTTATTTTTAAATAAAACAAACAAAAAATGCCTCCACCTCTTTGCCAACTTTCCCACCATCATCCTCTCTTTTCTTACATTTTTCTTTTGAAGATTTTCCAGTTCTAGTCTCAATTTTCCTTGTTAGTGGAATTATGAAGTTAATCTAGCTTCTATCTAAGTTCTGAGGAAAAGAAGCAAGAGGCTGATTTGGCAGGAAATAGGGTCACAAACACACAAAAATATACACTTCACCCTCTAATTCAAAGAGGCAGTGGCAAGAGAACATCCTAAGATCTAGAGAGCCCCTTCCCCCTAAAGAGGAGGCTCAGGCTAGGAGCTGTGTATCTTTGTGGTTAGTGTGTTACAACTGCAGGTCAAAAAGTTGAGGGTCAAAAGTTTACATTGTGCAGCACTCTTAGTCATCTGCCCAGACAGAGTTTGATGTCAATGTTAGAGCTGCGATCTTGACTATCAGCACAAAAGATAAAATGACTAGAGTGACGCGTGTATCACAGTATGGACTCCAGGTGAACTCTGGTGGTTGAATGGCCTCAATTACGGAGGAAAAGATAGAAAATTCCTCTTTTCAAGAGTAATACATGCTGTATTTCATGTTGAATTATCACTCCCATTCTGAGGGAAGAGCAGCAGGTAAATAGGCTTAGATTACCAAAAACGCCAACACCTTAAGTGCTGGAGCATCAAGAGTGGTTTGTGGGTTTGTCACAAAATAAAAATGCTTAAAACGCATCAGAGAACCTTTAGGAAATCAAGTAGCAAGTTTTTAATGTTCCATTATTTCCTCAAAGGCTGGAGACCACCACAGAAATCTGACTTTATTTGAAACTTTCTTTGAAAAAGGGTGATTTTGATCATATAACGGCCTTTAAAATGTGGGAGTAGAGGGCAAAATCTTGCAAAATGTGTTCTTTGCAGTTTCAAACGCAGGACACCCCTGCCCCCCCCCACTGCAACCAACTGAATGGTAAGGGTTGTCAGAACTGGGAACGAAGTAGAATCCTTAATGAAAGGGACAAAATTCTGGGCACCACCACCAGTTTAAAAACACTTATTAGTGTCAGGAACATGTTCATGTTGGAAATTTTCTGTTATGTTTATTATTAAGCCACAGTTGAATGTAAGAGAAGTGTTGAAATCTGCATGCAACTAATGGTTTAGAATGCAGGAAGCTGGAATCCATAAATGCCAGGCCACTTTCTAAGACCACCAGGTTTCTTTTCTCCAGAAAATACTTTTATAAAAGATACATGTGGATTAGGCAGTGGGGAGAGAACTGAGGACAGTGGAAAGCAAGCTAGGGAGGAGGGAAAGGAATGGAGGAGAAAGGGAATAGTCAATTAAAGAAGCAGACTGGAACCATGTCTCATGTGTGGGATGCAAGAGAAGTGTTAACCAATATTTTATTTTTCATATGTCTAGATCAGCTGTGTCAAGATTAGAATCCATTTTCTGGGGAACATATATATGAAAGATAGTTTTCTGCTTAGTTTTGGAAATATAGTACTCGGAATGTCAACTCTTATAGGGATGTTTAAGATAATTCCAATATATTCAAGTTGATTGGATTTAAGGGTGCCAGGTGTATGTTCAGTGGTAAAGTAAATATTTTCCAAACATTGCCTTCATGGAAGTAATCAGGGTGCTTCTACTGTGCAGTGTGCAAAGTTTTTACTCTGGCCAAGAGCTTGGAGCCAAATGAGGTTTTGCCAGATGAATTAGAAGAAAGGAAACAACTGTGGTGATTGCTGTTACAGCAGTGAACACTTGCTTCACCACATCTGCACTAGGGAGATGAAGAAAAAGACCCTCCCACCCCCACCTGCTCACTGAGAAAATTCTAAGTCTCTTCCAGATAATTTTTTCATTGTATTTTTGCAAACCTAAGAAACATTTTAGCTTCAGTACTCAAAGATACCTTTTAGCCATTAAAATGAAAAAAGGTACTTGTGGAAATTACTATTTTAAAGTGCTTGCCTCCTTAGAGGGTTTTGATCATTAGGGCTTCTCACCCAGCCCTGGTTAAAATCCAAGTATAATCCTAACATGTTTTTCAGTCCTTATGCCTGGGTTTTAATTATTTTAAATCACTATAAAGAACCCAAATTAATTGGTAAAAAAAAAAAAAAAAAAAAGGCTGGTCAAGTATTGTTCTTCTATAATCACAGGCCTAAGGTAGGTGGAGGATGGGGAAGCCCTTAAATGCCACGCCCAGGAATTTTAAAATTGTGCCATTCCCCAGTTTGCTCCAGAGAAGCGCTTGAGATAGAGAAAGGGTCTGGAGGATGGTCTTTCTAAAGAACAAAGGACAAATACAGTCAATACATTCCATAACGTTTACATTTCCTTTGCTTTTTCCCCTTGGTTTTTCCTGGGAAGGAGTGACCTGGGCAAAGCACCCTGCTCTCTAAAAGACACTGTATAGACCTTTTAGAAGCCCAAAGTCCAAGGCTGAGGTGAACTTCAGGTCAGCGCGTCTAACAAATATGAAAATGTCGGCTAGTGAAGGGCGCGCCTTGTGATTTAACAAAGACTGTCAATGTGTAAGATTAATAAGAAACAAAATGCACACGGTGTCACTGTTCGGTCACTTTGAAACTTGGGACTGGGCTGCATTCAAGTGGGAAGGCTGTTCCAAATATATTCAAAATGATTCAAATCAGATTCAAACCAAGCTGTGAACACTGCCTCCTCCTCACCCTTCCTCTCCCTCAGACTCCCTTTGCCTCTCCTTCTCCATCTGGGATGCGGGGATATGATGAAAAGTTATCTCAGTTAATGGGATTTTAAGAAAGCTTTTTGTTTGGGAATATATGTTATCATGTACATGGAAAGGAGCAAATGTGCTTACCAGTTTCCCAAGGAAAGGATAGAGCTTCAACCCTGCTTGGGATTGGAGGCAGTTGATGTGCGAGGAGGATTAGCACTCTCCCTTTCAGCACGGTTTCAAGGCATCCCATCTTTTTTAGGGCAAGATGCTGTTTGAAAACTTCAGTTTGTTTTTTAAGTTGAGTTGTTTCTTCCTAGTTTTGCTTTAGTGTCTTGGATTTTATGTAAAAGCAAGAAACGATTTCTTGTCTTAAATGTTTTTCAAACCATTATTTGATTCAATGGAATATGCTATGGCTTGCAAAGGGAGACTGTGGAAGGTTCAGAAAAGGTACTGAGATTGTTTATTACAGCCATAAATCTTGCAGTAGAATGTCAAAATGTCGGTGTGTGAGATAACACTTGGTGGTCCTGGCTCCGTTTGTGTTTATGATAGAACCACAAAGACAAGTTACAGGCCTTGGGGGATTCTGTATAAGCCCATCTTCCTAATGTAATAGAGCCCAGGAAACATAGGCACAGTTAACTCATTTAGCTTAACCATATACAAAACAGTGCCAGTGTCTCCTTAATACTTAAGAGTAGAAACTCTGTAGAAGGTTCTAAGGCAAACAACACGAATTTTCTGTTTTAGTGTCTGTAAATAATATTAAACAGACATAGTTAGGACTCTAGTGCTCAAGGTTGATGACATGGGGAAGAGGCAAGACTTCCTCATGCTTTTCCTCTACCTGAAACATATCCAGTTTGTAATATATACTTTATATGTATATGCTATTTGTACTATACAGTATATAATCTTTGTATATATTTTACTAGATAAAGATATTGGTTTAGGCAGCTGCATCACGGGCTAGATCCCCCTCCAGTCTAGAGAGGATGTCAAAAGATTATAATCAGTGTCTGTGGCTCAGATTTCATTAAAAATTTTAGTATGTCTCATGTCAATGGACAGCAGCACACTTCATACACACACGCACCCAGTGTGGAAAAGCTCTTTGCACCACTTCAGGGCGATTCCAGTTAGAAACTAACATGATCTTTTTTTAACCTCTTTTCCTAAATTAGTTTAAAGATTAGTTTCATATAATAGTCTTTATGTGACTAAGCATTAAATGACTATCCATCAAATGGATATATTCCAGCATTTAGTAACACAAATGAGTAACCAATATAAATGAAGATAGAATTGACATTCTTTTTGAAGTGTCTCCAGGCTTAGGCTATAACTTTCCTTGTCTGCGCGCTAGACTCAGTTATGAGAAAGCTGTTTATTCTGCTCTTCGAAAAAGCAACTAAGGTGTGCCAACCAAAATGTCTTTGCTTTGCATGTCAATATGAAAGTTATTCTTAGAATGCTGCTAGTTTGCACTACTTTTATCTAGGCTTTCTCTGAAAAGGAGATCTAGGTGTGTCTGTTAATTCAAAAAGAGGGAGGGAAGAAGACTTACACAGTATGAAGAAGGCATCAGTATTTACTTCAAAGATCAACATTAGGTGGTAATAAGTAATTTATTTGTTAATAATGGCATAATTAGTTTACCCATCAAATTTCAATTACCAAATGGCAGGCAACAGTGCCTCTCCCTCCTTTCCGGAGCTACTGATATCGTTAATATGCTAATCTTCAGCAATTCAGAAATTCTAGGTTGCCCTGTAAATATAACCCCGGTTTTTGATAGAGCCTGGGGAAGCAGCATGCAAAAAAGAATACAAAATTTAGCCAGAAAAGACCCGTGGGTCGGACGGGCAAGGGTCATAGTCTATCTTTAGTCTGTTTTGTAGTGGGGTTGTTCTGAAATAGGAAGTTACTGGTTTCAAAGCTCGCTTTTATGCAGGCATCGCTTCTCCATCCACATCCTCTAGCCGCAGTCTCACAATCTCAGCTAAGCGAGGCATGTTTGGATCGCTTGTCGGCACTTCCATCAAATTAGATGCTAAGAGTAAGATTCCAAATCTTTCAACGAAAAAACACGTTCCGCCTCTGAAAAAAACAGGGGTAAGGGGGAATAAAGTATCTATATGGTTATATTGGAATACCCTTGTTAGACATCCTTGGATTTCTCCGCTGCCTCTCACCCACCCTCTCTTGGTGGTTCCATCTCAGCTTTGTAAAGCAGGATGTAGGGGAAAAAGTCTGGAGGCGTCATTCATTTAATTCCAGGGCCAGAATAAAAAAATCCGGATGCCTGTTGGTCCCAACGCCCTTTTCTACCCCGGTGGGACTCGAACCCTGAGAGGACCCCAGGCCTGGCTAGACCAGAGGTCTGCGCGGAGCCACGGCCAGCCAGCTGCCCTGAGGCCTAGTCAGAAGTAGGGCACAAACAGGGCTCCAAAGGACCTACAGCCTAAAAGACCCCGAATTCCCACCCGGAATCCAAGTTGGGGGGCTGCAGGACCGAAGCCCCGGCTCGCTCCTCCCGCCCCGGCCAGGACAGCAGCATCCATCAACCACCCGCGAGTTTCCTGATCCGGGTCCGCGCGCGCGGAGCGCCCATTGGTGAGGGCGTTGCACGTGGGCACGGGGCGGGGCGCGCGCAGGGCCGCAGAGGAAGGAGCGAGCGCGCGCGCACGGGGCGGGGGGGCGGGGGGGGCGGCGAGAACTTTGGAGGTGGTGTCGGCGGGAGGAGGGAGAGGGTGGGCATTTGACAGCGGGGGGGAGGGGAAGGGCGCAGAGGAAAGAGGGGGATGGGAAGCCAGGCGAGAGGGGGAGGGGCCTCGACGAGCCCAGAAAAACGACAACGCGAGAAAAATTAGTATTTTTGCACTTCACAAATTAATGACCATGAGCTCGTTTTTGATAAACTCCAACTACATCGAGCCCAAGTTCCCTCCCTTCGAGGAGTACGCTCAGCACAGCGGCCTGGGCGGTGGAGACAGCGGCCCGGGCGGGGGCCCCAGCTACCAGCCGCCCCCGGCATCCACCACCCAGCACCTGCCGCAGCCCCAGCTCCCGCATGCGGGCACCGGCCGCGAGCCCCCCGCATCCTACTACGCGTCGCGGGCCGCCCGTGAGCCCTCCTACCCCACGGCCGCCCTCTACCCCGCGCCCGGGCCAGACGCCGCCTACCCCTATGGCTACAGCGGCGGTGCCAGCCCCGGGCGGCCACCGCAGCCGGATCAGTCCCCGGCACATGCCAAAGGCCCTGTACACGGCCTGCACGCGAGCCACGGCCTGCAGCCCGGCCGCCAGCCCCCGCCTCCCCCGCAGCATCGCGCGGCGCCCCCAGCGCGCTGCGACGCGGCCCCCGCCACCCCCGGCGTCCCGACAGGGGGCAGCGCCCCTGCGTGCCCGCTGCTCTTGGCGGACAAGAGCCCGCCGGGCCTGAAGGGCAAGGAGCCCGTGGTGTACCCCTGGATGAAGAAGATCCATGTCAGCGCCGGTACGTGGCGCCGCTGGCGAGGCGCGGGAGGGTAGGCTGGGGCCAGGCCAGGGCTCGGGGGTCGGGTCGGGGGTCAGGAGGCAGAGACCCACAGCAGGGAGGGGAGCCCCCCATCTGGCCTGGGCTGCTGTGGGCTGTGGGTGTGCGCGCCAGCCAGCAGCCTGATCCCAACGTGAGAACCCTTTTGTACCCAGGGTCCCTTTATCCGGAGATTTACGAGACGCCAAACTGTTAGGGCAGTAATTATAGCCCCCATAAATTTAATTGCCCTGGCAGAGGCTTCAGGCCATGTGTCTTTGAAGCTTTTCTTCAGCCCCAATGCCCAGCACCATTCTTTATGGCTCTCGGGTGTTTCCCGTTGTCAATAGCCTGTGAAACATTTTCTTTGCCATTTTATGTATGTTGCGTGAACTTGGTGTCAGGTTATTATATAATGATGATGTCCAATTGCTCTTCCCCACCCTATCTCCTCTTTCCTCCTTTCCCTCTCTTCCACTCCCTCCTCCTTGGCCTTCTCCTTCGGGGTTCTGGCGTTCAGTCAACCCCAGTTATAACGGAGGAGAGCCCAAGCGCTCTCGAACCGCCTACACCCGGCAGCAGGTCTTGGAGCTGGAGAAGGAGTTTCATTTTAACCGCTACCTGACCCGGCGGCGCCGCATCGAGATCGCCCACACGCTCTGCTTGTCGGAGCGCCAGGTCAAGATCTGGTTTCAGAACCGGAGGATGAAGTGGAAGAAAGATCACAAACTTCCCAACACCAAGATGCGTTCTTCCAACCCGTCGTCGTCGGCCTCTGCAGGCCCGCCAGGGAAATCACAAACTCACAGCCCACACTCCCATACCCACCCCCTCCCTAGTGCCTCCACACCCATTCCCTCATCCATATAATCTAAGGGAGACCTAGATCTGGTTTTGTCACTCACCTGTCCTCGGCCTCTCCTCTCCTGCTCCTATCCCCATTTATTCTTCCCCAAGTAAACTGTAAGACACCAAAACAAAATCCAACTTGGTGGAAACCATAACCAAAAAGAAGACATTGTCCCTGGTGTGTATGTGCTGGTTGCCACCCAAAAGAGGATAACTGTCCTGGATGCTGTTAGTGGAACAACCTGCTGACCTGAACAGCCTTGCCAGGTTTGGATACTTGTGAAGGAACCAACACTTGCCATCACATACTTTTGAGACAACTGAAGTCAGTTGGAGGGTGCTTGCTGATTGGGGACTTGTACTTTGTATTTTGTGGCAAGCAGAAGAAAGCAGGCCCTTTCCTACCCTCCTTACCTCTCCCTCCTCCACTAAGGCAGCTCTCCTGAGCTTTACTGAGTAGACATTGTGGACCTCACTAGATTATTTAATTCTCAAAATGTGTAGACCTTGATGGTAGGTGTGACATGTTAGTTTCCCCTCCTTGCATTTATTTAAGATATTGTTGCAGAGATGTTGTTGTCTTATTCTGGGGCACAATCTTGGGGAAGAGGGGAATGCATTCAGACCCACGAGCGCTGTACAAAGGAATATGGCTATATAAAAAGCCATGTGCTAAGAATAAACTTCATTTTAAAAAAACATTAAACATCTAAGAGACAGATTTGTATGTTTCATGAGCTTTTCATTAAAAACAACAACAACAACAACAACAAAAAACTACCAAAGTCCTCTGGATTGAGGACAATATAGAAACATTGTAGACAGTATGAGTTCGGTTCACATGGATTTTAAGTGCTCACATAATTTGTGTAAGTGTGTATGTGTGTGTTCAACTTGATCTGGATTCTTGTCAAGCTTGACCTACTGTGGAAATGTTCCAAGAGGCAGGAAGACTCTTTGAGCCTGGGGAGGGCTCCTCTTCTTCCCAAACTTGGCCAGACTTTCAGGCTTCAAGTCTCTGTAAGGCAAGGAAACGTGTCTGTCCCTGCAGTGAAAGGTGAAACCAGGCAGTGTGGAGGCCCAGGAGTCTCTGCAGCTGTTCTGCACACTGAACTCTGAGCACACTTGGAAAGAAATGGTCCCTTTGGCATTTGTTGCACCTTTAAACTTAATCTGCCTGTTTCCCTGGAGATAAAAAATAGTTTGTGCAGAGGGTTGAGATCTTTTTGTTTTGTTTTTAACCAGTCTTAAGGTTTTCTTCATTAAGCACAGCTTGGGAGTTTTGTTTGCTTCTTTAAAAAAAAAAAAAAAACAACTTTCAGAATAAAAGGAATTTTCCCATCACACTCTCCAGAGTACCCCCTGAGAAAATAGAAAGCACAATGGCACCCCAAAACACACCCTGAACAAGAGCAAGGTAGACTGAGCTCACTACTAGAAAAAAGTCAAATTGTAAAATAGGGTGGTTTTCTTCAAATGCTTTGGGGTGTTTCTGCTCAAGTCCAGAGATCTAGATCCAAAAGGTTGAAAAGTGAAAATTCACCTCTGGATCTCTGCCACCCTAGTAATTGCATGCTGACTGAAACTTGGTGCTCAGGCATCAGACAGAGAAACACAATGCATACTAGCTCCAGAGTACCACAACTGTCATCTCGCATAGAAAAAGTGCAGTTGGGGGGTTGTGTAGTCATTGTGACAGAAAGAGAAGGGCTCTTGGCCTACCTATATAATAGCAGAGGAAAATTAAAGCATTTTCTGTAAGTGGGACAAGCTCAGCCAGTGCCAGTGCCCCCTTCACTCCTGCTGTTCTGAGTGCGGGGGGGGGGGGGAATCTGTTCTCTACCTGCAGACAAGCCAAATTTGAGAGACAAGTGATGGGTACCAGTCTGAAAGGCAAAGAAGATTCAGGAGAAAAGGAATTCACACATGCCTTCCCAAAGCAGAAGAACCTGGCATAAAATGCATTTTATAAGGTGTGAAGGGGCACCAAGCATTTCTAGAAGGCTTGCAACTGCTGCTGCAACTTATTAACCTTTCTCTTACTCCACACACTTGTAAAGCAAAATTAAATCATACCGAAAATAGCAATTTTCCCAGGAATCATTAATCACCTCTTACAATAAATACTTCTTTGTAATTCAACAGCAATTCTGAAAGGCATTCTCTGGGAAGAGTCTGGAGGAGAGAGGGATCTTCTTGCAAATAATGCTTTCTCAGGCAAAGATGCAGCATCTTGTTGTCTGCTTAAAAAAAAAAAAAAAGCCTAGACTCTGGAAATTGAGTGTCAAATTGCAAAACCTCAAATGGCAGACTTTCATCTTTTAATGTAACTTCTTGCTCTCCTCTGTGGGTAAGAAGGGATGGGAATATTCCTTAGCATCATTCTGGGGGCAGTGGTAGGGATGCTTTCAGCTGTCCATCCAGAAAAGGAATGGATGATCGAGATCCTTTTTCTGCTCTTAAGATAAAGTGACCTTTTTTAATAGATTATTAAGGTACTGGTAAGTTTTGAAAAAACAAGACTATTGAAAATGCTAGAAATGAGTATATCATTTTTTCACAGTGGGTGTTCTGTCTGTTATTTAGCCAACATGTAAGGGAGCTTGCTATAACAGCTTGGAAAATCTCACTCTGTGCTTCAAAATCGTGCATTGTCTGCCCTTTGCTAAGGCAACCATGAGTTCACTGAGAGGACAGATTTTCTATCTCATTAATTGTTTTTTTTTTTTTAAAGCAAACCTACTAGCTCCTCAAACCCTTGACCTTTAAAGACAGTATTTTGTGTGAGCTCTATAATTCTCCTACCAAAATGACCCTTACACATGCTGTCCTATTCCCTCCTCCTCCTCCTCCTCCATCCTTTCAATACACACTCATCCGCTTTAGTCACAGAGCCAAGCTGTGCATGGCTCTGGAGATAAAAGTTTCATCAACATCTGAAATCAACCTAAATCGGATAGGAGACACTTTAATGGTCACCGTTTGAACTAAGTATTTAATACTCCCCCCCTTGAAGAAAAATGGTAGTTTGCAGGCTTTCTTTACTAGTTTTGCTGAAATCTACTATATACCCGGTGTTTTATTACAGCAGGAATTCAACTGTGACAGACATAGTAGAGTACTTAATACCCATAATGGAGCTCATGGGAAGATTACCTAGATGTATAGGGTGGGCCCACTGCACAGTGTCTGTCTTTATATTAGCAATCCCAGGGTGCCCTAGTCTTTGACTTCTTGCCCTTCTCCCTCTGTCTCCTGGGCACCCCTATTCCCCTAAGCTTTCAAACTGCACTGCTCTTCCCCTGCTTCTTTCCCTCTAGTAGTTCCAACATAGATCAGCAACCCTTTAGACAAGAAGGAGAGACACCCCAAAGAATAACTGTAGCAAATGGAAACCTGGGGTTGTCCATCCCAATGAGTGGGTTTTATACAAACAATAGGTAGGTGGGCACTGTCACTCCTTTGATGTCTGCACCCCTAGGTACAGGCTCACCTTTTTCAACTTCTGTTCCCTGGTACCTCTTTCCTATATTACACACTAGATCAAGAAAAACTCTGCTTTGTACCTCAAGGAGGATGGTCTGCAAAGCCAAGGAGGAAAAAGGGGAGGGGGAGAAGGAGGGGGGAGCAGAAGGACCACCAGAATATTCTCTTTCCTTGATAGCACCAGGGAGGCAGCTGAACTGTCATGAAACCTAGCCTACAACTTCTGCCTTGGAACACCGATGATACTCCTCTTTTGAAGCCACCAGCCCATTCTCTCTAGGATTGATTTCTGAATCTGAAAAAGATGCCAAGATTGAAAGGTTGTTCAAGGTGAAAGAGCCCTGGAAGCTATTTTGGTTCATTTGTCTGAATTTACAGATAAGGAAACTGAGGCAGTTGGTTGACTGAGTATGTAGGTTTCATAGAGCCTTTGGTATCACCTTGGATAGGCATGAGTGCATAGGCATCTTTCTGCTGCAGGAACTGTTCTATTTTGATGGGAATAGACAAGAATAGGGGACTGGGCATATGCATACAAGCTTATGCTGGTGTGTAGGGTCACAGGTGTGTGAAGCCTAAAAGAAAGATGTATTCTTCCATCATGTGTGCTGCCTGGGAGAGTACATAATCAAACTGCCTTAGTTTTGGCATTCAGACAGGTGGGCAGACCAGGGGGACTCAGGTGAGGGATGTCATGATGCCTAAGTCCTGGTAACCCCAGAATGACTAGTTCTGCTGGGGCCCAAAGCCAGTGAAGGCAAAGGTGAATGTATTCTGGAAGCCTGGGGAACAAAAAAGCCAAGCAAGGACCTTGCATGCAACCGATAAAGGTGTAAAGCCTGTTGGGGGGAGATATTGAAATTGTGATCTTTGCGATCAGATCACGTGACTGACTCATTAAATAATTAATGCAGATCGTCAGGAATGTATCTGAGTCTTCAGGGCCTCTCTAGGAATGAATCTCTTCATAAGTGAGACTCCAACTTCCTATTTGATTTTTAAATACAGACATCCTTAGATTTATCTCCAAAGGCTTTTAACTCCTTCAGGAAGGCAGGCGAGAGCCCTGCGGCTGGGAGAACCGAGCTGGCCGGCACTCGCCAGGTTCCAGGGCTTTTCCGCAGGGTTGCTGCCAGTCCGGGGAGAGCTCTGCGTCCAGGAAACGTGAGTTCTGGCTTTTTTTTTTTTTTTTTGCGGTCACATCCTGGTTTTGGTGATGAAGTGGGACGGATGCGCAGACAGTTGGTAATGCTCTGATTCACGCTGGGGAAAGCTGCAGCGATACCACAGCACGGGTGCACGGCTTTGTTCAATTTTCCCGGCGTTCATAAATCACCCGCGCTAGGCGAGCGAGGGAGCAAGCAGACGCCAAAAAACGTGGAGGGAG